CGTCCCGCTGCGCTCCGCCGCCCGCCGACATGGCCGCCGCCGCTCCCGGCCGTCACTTCCGGCCCCGCGCCCGCCGCGCGCCGCCGCTTCCGCCCGTTGCTATGGAGACGGCGCGGGCACTTCCGGCCGCTGCTGAGGGGACGGAGATGGCGCCGCGGGGCGGGGGCGGGACGGGGAAAGGACCCCCTCAAAACGGGAAAAAGTCCGTTGTGTCCACGTGGATTGTCCCGAGGATTATCCCATTTTCTCAAAATTAAGTGTAAGTTTGTAACTGTTCTGGCCCAGGTGCAGTCTGGATGCACCGTGTGCCATTTTATCCCAGCGAAATACAGAAATTACAGCGTCTAAAAGCACCCCAAAAATCACCCCCTTTATTATTTCCACGTGTATTATCCCATTTTCCCAAAATTAAGTATAAATTTGTAACAGTTCTGGCCCAGCTGCAGTTTGGATGCACCGTGTGCCATTTTATCCCAGCGAAATACAGAAATTACAGTGTCTAAAACGACCCCAAAAATCACCCCCCTGTATTATTTCCACGTGTATTATCCCGAGGATTATCCCATTTTTCCAAAATGAAGCATAAATTTGTAACTCTTCTGGCCCAGGTGCAGTTTGGATGCACCGTGTGCCATTTTATCCCAGCGAAATACAGAAATTACAGTGTCTAAAACGACCCCAAAAATCACCCCCCTGTATTATTTCCACGTGTATTATCCCAAGGATTATGCCATTTTCCAAAAACAAAGTGTGAATATGTATTTTTGTTTTAGCCCAGCTGCAATTTGGATGCACCGTGTGCCATTTTATCCCAGCGAAATACAGAAATTACAGCGTCTAAAATGACCCCAAAATCACCCCCTGTATCATTTCCACCTGTATTATCCCAAGGATTATGCCATTTTCCCAAAACAAAGTGTGAATATGTGTTTTTCTTTTGGCCCAGCTGCAGTTTGGACACACCGTGTGCCATTTTATCCCAGCGAAATACAGAAATTACAGCGTCTAAAAGCACCCCAAAATCACCCCCTGTATTATTTCCACCTGTATTATCCCGAGGATTATCCCATTTTCCCAAAATTAAGAGTAAATATGTAATTTTGTTCCGGCCCAGCTGGAGTTTGGATGCCATTTTACCTCAGGGCAATACAGAAATTACAGTGTCTAATTGTGAAAAACGCCAATCACATGGTTTTAAATTTTTTTAAAAGTTTAAAAATAATAAAATGGTTATAAAAATGGCAATATAATTGGAGTAATAAAAATTTGGACAATTTGGATGAGGACTATATGAGACAATAAAAACAAAGAGTTATGGATTATCCAGGTACCCTTTGCTGGGCAAAAAGTTAGTTAACAGAGGATTAACCCTTAAAAGCAACAGCCTGTTGCATATTCATACATGATGCATAAATTCCATTCAAACACAGGATTCTGTCTGGTCAGTGTCAACTTCTTCCTCTGAATCCTGACCTGAGGCAGGAAGAAGTTCGTTTCTTCTGATAACGGAGCAATAAATTCTTTTTTTCTGAAAGATTTAGGTGTCCTGTGGCTGCTGTCTGGTGCGAGTATCTCATTCCTCTCTTTAAAAAAGTATCCTACATAGCATAATTTCTATTTTAACATTATGTTATAACCTAAAACGATATTTAACACACTACTTAAAACAATTAATACAGCAAAACTTTCTAACATAATACATATAATATTCATTTGAATATTTGTGAAAAGCCAATCATAAAATACGCATTTTTCACAGAATCCATTTGAATATTTGCGAAAAGCCAATACTATAACACATATCTACAACATGAGGCTGGAGCTGCGTTAACGAGGTTTATGTTGGATTATCAGGAAAAGCTTCTTCCCCCAGCGGGTGAAGGCACTGCCAGAGCTCCAGAAGCGTTTGTACAACGCTCTCAGGGTGGGGTATTTGGGGTGCCAGTGCAGGACGGGGGATAAAAAAATTAAAATAAAAATCTCTGTAATCCCCTCACAGCTCAGAACATTCCATGACCCCCCGCCCCCTCACAGAAGTAGAAACTGCGCATGCGCGGCCGGCTGAGGGCAAGCCCCGCCCCCTGCATTTGCGCACGGCCCCTCGGCAGAGCCCGCTGAGGGCAAGCCCCGCCCCCTGCGTTTGCGCACGGCCCCTCGGCGGAGCCCGCTGAGGGCAGGGGCGGGAAAAGGCGCCCTGAGGGTGAGGGCGGGCGGTGCTTTCATCTCCCTCTCTTCATCTCCATCTCCCTTCTCTCTCCGCACACTCTCCTACAGTTTTTCCTCGATCGTGTCTCACCTCACCTCCGGGTTTTGTTGCCCGCCGCCCCGCGCTGCTCTGCCGTGTTGTGTCTTCGCGCTTTCATCCTCCGCCTGCCTCAGTTTCCCTTGAGGAAGCAGGTGGTGGTTTCTGGGCTGAGGCTGATGGGGGGCGGCCCATTCCTCACAGCGAGGCCTAACTCGGCCGGGTGTTGTCATCGGGGGATTGCTGAGGGGACCTCAGTGCCCTTTGTGATCCAGACCTCATTTCTAACTTGCTGAAGGTGTTTCCCTTCCTAACTTGGGGGAGGTGTTTTCCTCAGACATGGGTGCATTTGTTATTCCTCAGCTGGGGGGAAGGTTTGTGTGAAGTCAGGCTCAGGGTGCTGAGGGTTCAGTTTCTTCCATACTCATTTAAATTAGACATGAAAACAAGTCTGGGGTTGTTTGAAATGTGGGGAGCCTTTTCATAAGGTCATTTAAAAATCCCATAGGATGGAGAGAGCTGCCTTTGGAGGTTCATATTTCATAGAATTACAGATATAAATGTTCTAATTATTGCATCCTGTAGCCTCGGGGGAAGCCTGTGCTGCTGTGAAAATCAAGAACCTGATACTGGGGATGATTAGAGGAGCCATCCTGCTCTGTTTCCTGAAAAAGACAGGTTTGTTTGAGCTGGTGAATCGAGCAGGAGGTGTTTGTAATTCCAGGGAATGCCCTGGAGAAGCTGCAGCCCTTTTCCTTCTCCAGGTGCTAATGCAGGTGTTTCACTGACAGGCACTGGAGTCTCTGCAGAATGGCAACTGCTCAGAAGCAAAGGAATTCTGTGGTACGGTTTTGTTTGTGTATTTCAGCACAATCATGGGGAAAATGGGGGGGGTTTGGCTGGAATGGTGCACCCAGGTGATATTTATTAATGCGAAAATAGGGTTAATCAGTTTTTAAATTATGAATAAAGAATATAGAGAAAAAAATTAAAGAAAAATAATCTGAACTTTGTTGTCGTAGAAACCAGCTGTGCCCTACAAATACTGTTAACACCAAGTGTAAGGGATGTGCTTAGCTCTATAAATCCCAAGAATTAATTGGTTTTTGCTGTGATTTTCAGAGTGCAGTTGTATTTCCCAAGAAAATAGCCACGGAGCAGCAGTCCCTGATGGTGGTGAAGAGGCTCCTGGCAGTGGCAGTGTCCTGCATCACTTACCTGAGGGGAATCTTCCCTGAAAGTGCCTATGGAACCAGATACATGGATGGTAAGGGGCTGTGGCCATGGTAATTTGCAAAAAACTCTTGCCATGGAGTTATTTTTAAAGCCATTTGGTCTTTTTAATGAATGCATGCCATTTTGGTCCATAGAAATATGAATAAATTTTGTTCTTGCTGCTGCTGACTCAGCATTAAAGCTATGCTGACACTTGTCAGTAATGTTAATTTTATTCTCTTCTTGATATGTGCTTTTAGCCAATGAACTTTTCATTGCACTTTGCCCTAAGTAAATGTGGGGTTTATTTTTTTCTTTTTTTTGAGATGTTTGTGTCAAAATCCTGCGGGAAGACAAAAACTGTCCTGGCTCTACCCAGCTGGTGAAGTGGTAGGTTGATTCCAGCAGACAGGTAACATCTAAGTGCTCAAAGGTTCCTTCCTGGTTGTTTGCAGATAAAGGCAAAAAGTTCTTTCCCACATTTGTGTCCCAGATGTGACACTGGTGTTTTCAGCTCAGGGCTTAGGAGAGCACAAATCTCTGTTTGCAGAGTGGCTGTACTTTATATTTACTAAATAAATACCAAATAGCTAACACTGGATTTGTATACTTCATCCCTCTGGGTGCTCATGAGCACTCAAGGGTGCCCAGAAATGCAAAACGCTAAAAGTTGGTCAGGAGACTCAAAGCCACCATTTTGCACCTTCAATTTAAAGATCTCTCACAGATTTTTTAAGAGTGGCACTGTCAGACTTGTTCAGTGGCAGAGCTGTGCCTGCTGGAGCCCTGCCACAGCTGGCTGGGATTGCAGCTGCAGCTTCTGCTTTCCTCCTGCTCACAGCAGCTGAGTTCTGCTCCAGGTGCTCTCCTTGCTTTTTAGAAACCTCTTTGCCTTGGTGAGATATTCCTGTATTTTGTCACCTCCACAAAGGTTCTTTTTCCCTTTTTCCCACTCCTGAAAGGTGTGGGAGGGATGCTGCACTCATCCCCTGGCAGTGCTGAGGGGTCTGGATTTTGGGATAGGGATATTTGAGATATTCCATGTGTGATGTGAAGCTTCACACCAGATTTACTTAGCAGAAAATACTGAGTGGTACAGAAAATACCCCAAAAACCCAAGAGATGCACTTAGCAAAGCTTGAGGGCTGAGAGTTGATGTTAAAGGTGAGTCAGCCATGTGCTGTCACAGAGGGAGGGAGGGAAAAGCTGGGATTTCCTGATGGGTCTTCCCTGGTGAGGAGAGGAAGGGGCAGTGCAGTCCTCTTCCCTTGAGGAGGCTGAGCAGCACAGGCTCCCTGATCTAGCAAAGCTTGAGGGCTGAGAGTTGATGTTAAAGGTGAGTCAGCCATGTGCTGTCACAGAGGGAGGGAGGGAAAAGCTGGGATTTCCTGATGGGTCTTCCCTGGTGAGGAGAGGAAGGGGCAGTGCAGTCCTCTTCCCTTGAGGAGGCTGAGCAGCACAGACCCTTTCCTGATTTGGGGGAGGGCTGTGCTGCCTCTGGGGAAGGGCCTTTCCTTCACACCAAACACAATTTGTGAAAGGAAAAAATAGGGTAAGAAAGAATTGAAAGAAAAAAAAAATGGGGTGAGTTTTGATTTCCTGATTGGGTGTTGTATAAAAAGGAAATGGCAACATCTAATGTTCTTCAGCAGTGTTGATGCTCAGATGAATTATTGATTTATGATAAAATCATGGAATGGTTTGGGTTGGAAGGGACCTTGGAGCTCACCTTCCTCACCCCTCTGCCATGGACACCTGCAATTAGACCAAGCTGCTCCCCTGCTTAATTAATACATGTGTTGGAAGGTGTTTGAAGCATTACAATATATTTACTGATAAATTACTTACCCTCAGATTATGTTTTTAATCGTTTTCCCTCCAACTTATATTTTTAATTGCTTTACCTCCAGATTATATTTTAATTGATTTACCTCCAGCTTATATTTTTAACTGCTTTATCTCCAGATTATACTTTTAATTATTCTTTCAAGAGGTTGGGGTGATTTGGTGTTACAAAGCATGTATCACTTCTAATAAGATGGAATGATGGGATAAGTGTTATTTATTGCTCTAAAAGTAAACACAAAAGTTTCATTTTTTTGGTGCTGTTAGTGAGAAACAAGTGAAAATCAGCAGTAGCTGGCCACTATTGTTTGGTTTTTGCAGGATGTTAGGATGCTATGATGCCTTGCAGAAGAAATACGTAAGTGCTCCAGTCTCGTTCCAGTTGTGTGCACATGGTGGTTTCAGGGCAGCTGCAGGGCTGGGCTCACTCAGCTGCAGTGTGGGGTGCACAGGGATTTCTGCAGCCAGCTCCTGTGAGCAGCAGCTCAGAGGGCCAGGGAGATCTGTGGGGGTTTCCTTCTGCAGCTGAATCTCTCCTCCACAGGAGAGGAGTGAAGAGGAAGAAGTTTTTCTTCCACCAGGCCTTGGTTGCCTGTGTTGGATTCCAGAGCTAGAGAAAAGCAGCTTGGGCAGCACAGATGGGCAATGAAGTATATTTAATGTTCTTTTGTTTTGTTTTTTCTCTGTTATGTTCCTGACAGCTGAGACAGATTGTCCTGGCAGTGAGTATCTCTGAAAGGCAGGGACATGTTTTTAGGAGGCATTCTTTGAGGGGTGTGCAGTTCTCACTGTGATTCCTCTATTTTCTCCAAAAACACAGGTCTACACCCAGACAGAAGATCCTCAGGTAAATCTGCTGGAATATCTCACTGCTGGTAATACGGATTTAGTGAAATGTGGGTACAAGCAGGAATATTTAACATGCACATCTATAAAAAAAAGAGCATTTTGAAATACCAGGTGTAAAAATGACTGGGGTCAGTGGGAATTGCCATGTGGAATTGCATGTGGGTGTTCTCAGGCTGTGCAAGAAACCAAAATGTCATTGCAGGGTGAGATGTCCCTCCTGACTCTGCCTGATGAGTCTGTGGGACTTCTGTGGAAGGCACAAACCCCACGGGGTGTCACACATCTGCTCCACGTGTGAAACATTCTCATAGCAATTGAAACTGGAATGTTTTATGCTAAAAACTTCAGCTGATTTTCACAATATTTCATCATGATGATTCCTGGAAAAGAATCATCCTTTTAATGATGTTTTAAACAGTTTTATGAATTTTACTGTTAATTGTTAGAGGATTGGGAGCACATGTAAGGGATGGGAGTTGGGCTGTGGTTATTCCTTTAAAGGTTCAGAGATTGCTGAGCAGAGCTGCAGCAGGAGGTTTGGGATTAGTTTAATAATTGCTGGTTTTGTTTGCAGACAGTCACAGAGTGTTACCACTTCAAGTTCAAGTACACCCACAATGGGCCACTCCTGGATTTTGGCAGGTACAGCCCTGGGACTGCTCCATGTCCCTTGGACACAGCTGAATGTCACAACTCTGCATTTGATCTCTTTGCTTTTCTTCAGACTGCTTTTATCAACATACCTCCTAAAACACAATTAATAATTTGGTTTGATTGTGCTCATAATTTTAATATCCACTCGGAAGATGATGCTCAGAGTCTGATACTCTCTGAGGATATTTGAGATATTCATGTGTGGGGGGTGAAGCTTCACACCAGATTTACTTATCTGAAGATACTGAATGTTACATGGCATTCCTCTCTTAGCAGAAACTGTAGAAAATACACCAAAATCCCAATAGAAATGTAATTTGTGGTACACAACTCAGTCATGGTGGAATTCCCATTGCTGAGATGAGCTCACTGGGCATCCCCAGCCATGGGGAGGGGATCCCTGGGTTGCAACTGGAAAAGGGCAGGTTTGGACTGGGTGTGCAGGGGAAATTCCTCCCTGGGAGGGTGGGCAGGCCCTGGCACAGGTACCAGAGCAGCTGGGGCTGCCCTGGACCCCTGGCAGTGCCCAGGGCCGGGCTGGAGCCACCTGGGATCATGGGAGGTGTCCCTGCCATGGCAGGGGTGGAATGGGATTTATTTCCACCCAAAAATTGGTGATTCTATGAGGCTGCCAATTCCTCTCTTCTTCAGAATTCTTTTGTTTAGTTTTTTACACTTTTTAGGCCAAACCATAGCTTCACTTCCCCTGTGTCAGTCTGGCAGGCTCAAGGAGACATTCAGGGGCTTTGTAATGAACTGGGGGAGAAGCACTGACCCCACCAGTTCTACACTCAACCTCCAGCCGTTTGTCTAAAATGAAGCCCTGCTCAGCTCTCCATGTGCTGAGATCAGGTCACTTCTGGCAGTGGCACTCTGTGCTGCTGGAGCTTGGGGGACACAGCACTCACAGGGATGGTGGGAAGGCCCTAACCCTAAAAAAAACCCCCAAAATCCTAAAAAAACTAAAGAAAACAAAACAAAAATTTTGCTCAGTCCCAGCTACAGGGAAATGGCTTATTTTAAGCCAATTGAAATACATTTAGTTCATACCTGACAAACTCCTCCCAGCTTCCCTCCTGCATAAAATGCTCCTTAAAGTAGAAAAGGAGCACCAGGAGATGCCTGTCCTGCTCTGCAGGTCCTCAGGTGCCTCAGCTGAGGGGAACAGGGGGAGAGGTTTGGCACTGAGGTGGGATTTGGGATGGTTTGTGGTGGATTGGGAGCGTGGAAATGTTGGACCTGGATGCCAAGAGTCACTTGAGCACCAAGTTTACTGTCGTTACCAATTGTGGGAAATAGATGTGTAGAAAATTTTCAATGTTGAGGAAACTTTGAAGTACCTAAATATTTCTAAATTCTCAATGTTGGGGAAACATTTAGGGTGCCTAAATGTGCTCAAAGTTGAGGAAACTTCAAGAGTGCCTTTATTTAAGGGAAAGCACATAGGTAGGACTTCCCAGAGCTGGGGCTTTCACAGGAATCTCCTTTTCTCTGTCTTTCAGTGTTTCCTTTGGGTTTTTAGCACTGTGTGATATAGGATGGAGCAGTTGGTGCTGATCCCTGAACTCTCCTGATGTCCCTGGCTCAGCGTTTGATCTCCCAAGGGACAGAGAACCTGCAGGACTCAGGCAGGGTTGGGATCTGCAGTGCTCAATCTCAGACCTCAGGCAATAAACAACAAACATGTTTGTTAACAATCAGGCTGTAAAACTGCTCGCTCTGTACCAAAACTCACGTGGCTGCTGTGTGTTGTTAGCAAGGACAAGAAGTCAGAGAGCCCCATCAGCTGTGCAGACACCAAGAAGGCCAGCATCCTCCTGATCCGCAAGATCTACATCCTGATGCAGAACCTCAGCCCCCTGCCCAGCGACGTCTGCCTCACCATGAAACTCCTCTACTATGATGAGGGTACACTGCCAGCTCAGCCTGGTTTATCAGGCTCTGCAGAGCAAGCCAAAAAAGGGCATTTTTCAGGTTTTCAGGGGATAATCTTTGTGGCTGCTGGGATTTGTTAGGTGAGGTTGTTTCATGCGTGGCTGTTTCTCAGGACAGGTTGAATCCCAAGGGGAGGGGATGTGATCTCACTGCAGGAACTCAATTCTGGCACTGACTTCACTGCATTTGGCTGGGTTTTAAAACATTTCGAGTTTCCCAGAGTGTGTCAGGCTATAGCATAATTTCCCAGCCTGGTGACTGTCCAAATACCTGGCTCTGCTTTCTGAGTGTGTTACTGCCTTATAATGACAAACCAGAGCTTCTGTTTTCTCTCTCTGTATCTCTCTTCCAAAGATATTTAACAGGGCTTTGCCTGTTGTGCAAAGAGAAAATAACTTCGTTTACTCCCTTCCCCACACAGTTTTTTACAGTAACTCTCTGTATTTAAAGGGGAAAACAGTTAAAATTAGTTTTGCAGGAACATATTTCATTCTATTTAATTTCATTCTCTTTAATTTCATTCTGTTTGGTTTCTCTGCAGTTACTCCCCCTGATTACCAGCCTCCAGGGTTCAAGGAGGCCAAGGACGAGGGGCTGCTGTTCAAGGAGGAGCCCATGTACCTGAATGTGGGGGAAGTGCCAACACCTTTCCACCTGCTGAAACTGAAAATCACCACTGAGAGGCAGCGCATGGAGAGCGTTGACAAGAGCATCCTGAAGCAGGGAGAGACTGCTGAGCCTCTCCAGCTGTGTGGGGGGAGCAGAGAGGACCCAGAGGAAGAGAGCCACGACATGAATGTAAGAGCACAGACTTAGTTTGGGGCAGCTTTTTGAATTTTTTGTGGTGTATCACCTAGAAAAAGTCCATTATTGTTTCACTGTTTGTAAGCCATAACCCCCTCTATTTTCAGACATGGTTAAGCAGGATAATATATCTTAAATTGATTTTTTCCTTAATTTTGCTGCTCCACTTTGCAGCCTGTCACTGTTCAAGCAGTGCCTGTGCACAGGAGCAGCAGAGGGACAGATGGAACCTCTTCCTCCCATGTCACAATCACTTATTTCAGTTTATTCCACCACAAATCCATTTCAAACATGTGTCCTTAATCATCTGAGTAGGAACTTTGCTCCTTGTGTGTCTGCAGTCAGTGACACACCTGCTTCTTCATCCAGGAGGATCCTGTCTTGAATAATGAAGTGGAAGAGAAGAATCATGTGAATATTTCAGAAGCTCAAGGTAACTTTTGTATATATTATATTAAAATTTTTACATGATAATCTTTATATTATAATTTTATTATATTATAATTTTTGTATCATAATATTTATATAAAAATTACTCAGTGCAAATCTCCAATCACTCAGTGCAAAACAACAACTAAATAAACTATTTAGTGCAATACAACACCAATCTTTATTATATTTTGTTATAATTTTATTATAATTTTTGTATTATCTATTATATTTTTCAAACCCCTCAATTTTCTATATTCAAATTTTTATTCTTCACATTTATGACTGTGTCTTTATTTTCTGTCAGGTCTTCGTTCTGTGAAGCACTTGGTTAACAAATGTTAACGTGTTAAAACATGGTTAACAAATGTTAACGTGTTAAAACATGGTTAACAAATGTTAACGTGTTAAAACATGGTTAACATATTTTCATGTTACTGTTCAATATTCTGATCTGTTCCATTTTATCAGCTAAGCTAAATTGAATGGGGTTTCTATTTAGAAATAAATTTAATTTGCTTTTTCTACTTTTTGTTACTAATAATTAGTGATTTATTTAGTTTTTGATAATATTTAGTTTGCACATTAAGCTCGGAGAGGTTTTGTACTGTTGAGCTCATTATTGCAGACTTGGAAACAGAATCCTCTGTGCAAAAACCAGTCCGGGTCTGTTTGTTGTAGATTTTTGTTTTTAATTTCAGCTTTCTGAGCTTCAGTTCAATTCAGAAATCCCACTTTTAGCCCAGAACCCCCGACCTTCAGGCTGTGGAGGAGCTGAGAGCATCGGGGCTGTGGTGGGTGGAGATTTTGTGCTGTGCAGAGCCCGGTGCAGCCCCTGCAGAGGGAGCTGCTCCTGGAGCTGGGACTGCTCTTTGTGAGGGTCCCGGCATGAGGGAAGGCATGAAACTGTTTCTTAGAAGGCTGATTTGTTATATTATGATATTAACAGAAAATGATGTGTTAAAACTGTACTAAACTATAGAGAGAGAGGATACCTCAGAAAGCTAGAAAAGAATGAATAATAAAATTTTGTGACAGGCCAGAGAGTCTGACACAGCTGGACTGAGATTGGTCATGAAGTAAAAACAATTCACATGGAACCAATCAAAGATTCACCTGCCACTTTCCAAAGCAGCAAATCACAAGGAGAAGTGATCAGAGAATATTGTTTTTCTTTTCCTCTGAGGCTTCTCATCTTCTCAGGAGAAGAAATCCTGGCAAAGAGATTTTTTATAAAATATCCTAGTAACAAGTAACCTCACCAGAGTGTGGTTTGTTTTATGAACCATTCTGTGTTTGGCTCTGCTGCTTCCTGTGAGTGCCTTTTCCAGCTGGTTGTGCTCTGGGGACCTGCTGCCCTTCCCCTGAGTGCTGCAGCTCTTTGAGAATTGCAGGTGAATGTTTTTGAATAGAATCCCTGCTGCCCTTCCCCTGAGTGCTGCAGCACTCTGAGAATTGCAGGTGAATGTTTTTGAATAGAATCCCTGCTGCCCTTCCCCTGAGTGCTGCAGCACTCTGAGAATTGCAGGTGAATGTTTTTGAATAGAATCCCTGCTGCCCTTCCCCTGAGTGCTGCAGCTCTTTGAGAATTGCAGGTGAATATTTTGCCATCACAAAATAGAATCTCACAGTGGGTTGGGTTGGGAGGCTCATCTTCTCACATCCAGTGCCACCCCTGCCATGGCAGGGACACCTTCCATGATCCCAGGAGGCTCCTTGGGCACTGCCAGGGATCCAGGGGCAGCCAGAGCTTCTCTGGAAATCCATTTGAATTTATTTAATCCCAAGCATCCAGAGACTGGGGAGCTCAGGAGTTTCAGATCCTCACCCCCACCAAGTTCAGGTGCAAGGGGATTTTTGGGCACTGTGCTCACATAACCATGGAATGGTTTGAGTTGGAACAGACCCAAAAACTCATCCAGTGCCAGGGCAGGGACACCTCCCACCCTCCCAGCCCTGTCCAGCCTGGCCCTGGGCACCTCCAGGGATGCAGGGCAGCCCCAGCTGCTCTGGGCACCTGTGCCAGGGCCTCACACCCTCCCAGGGAGCAAATCCTTCCCAATATCCCATCCAGCCCTGCCCTGTGGCAGGGTGAAACCATTTCCTGTGTCCTGTCCCTCCAGGCCTTGCCCAAAGCCCCTCTCCAGCTCTCCTGGAGCCCCTTTGGGTCCTGGAAAGGGCTCTGAGCTCTCCCTGGAGCTTTCTCTTCTGCAGGATGAACACCCCCAACTCTCTCAGCCTTTGCTTGGAGAGGAACTTCAATAGGCACAAGTTCTAGTAAAGTGTTTTTGTTAGGATGGATCACACAGAAATGAGTTTCCTCAAGTGTTTTTCCTAACACTGTAAATAAAATCTGTCAGTAAATAACTGTCCTGGCTCCTCCAGCCCTGCAAGCTCCCCACTGCTGGCTTTTAATCCCAGCCCCAAAATGTGCACCCAGCCTGACTCCAGCTCAAAACATCAGCCACCAAATTGTCCTCAGGGATCTCAGGAGCTTCCTTTTCAGATTTTAGATAAAGCAGAGGATGGTTTGTGTTCACATTTCCCAGTTTTGCCCAGGGGCCTGAGGTCTGAACTTTGCTGCCAAACAAACTGAAGAAGAGATTGCTGCTTGTTGATCTGCTCCACTTGGAGAGGCTGTATAGAAGCATCCAGACAATCTGGAACCCATTTGCTGTACAGAAATGTTTGGTTTGGGGTTTTTTTGAGAAGAAGGTTTGCCAAACCAGCTGCCATTTCCATGCTGTTCAAAAATAATGGTGGAAATGTGTAGGAAACAGCACATGCAGATCAGAATCTTTGTCTTGACAATTCTAGTAGGCTGCAGAACTGGAATAACCACATTAAGGTGTGTCTGATTCTTCTAAAATGTCATAACAAATGCAAAAATCCAGAAAATTTCTTGTCCTGGGGAGTTGGCAGATGTTTTATTTACAGGAGCTACGAGGCACAGCTTGTCAGCCTGGAATTCTTGTGTTGTTTCCACAGCTGATGCACAGTCACCCATGCACCATTCCATGCTTCTGTCTGTATCCTGGAAAAACAGCATGAATTAGGAACAGCAGAAAAATACCTGGAGCTGCCTGATCCCCCCTGAGGAACCCCTGAGGGTCTGCTCCTGCAGCTGGGAGTGCTGCTTGGCTGGGCTGGTGGGGCAGGGCTGGCCCAGAGTGGCCTTTTCCCTGTCCTGCAGCACCAAACAGGCTCCTGGGGCTTCAGGGTTGAAACAAATCCCTTCAGCAGGGCAGAGTGTGAGGGAGCTGGGGTCAAACCCACTTTTCCAGAGATGCTGGGTGTGAACTGCTCCTGCAGTGAGCTGGAGGTTGGGATAGGAATTGGCTGAGTTAAAGAATAAATTCAAAGCTTGATGGAGTGCAGGATGTGCTCTGGAAGCAGCTGTTCCCAGCAGCAATGAATTGTTCTTGGAGCAGGGCTGGTGGTGTTTGCTCTGGGTTGTTGGTGTGTTAACACCTTTATTTTAACTCTCCAATTCTTCTTTCAGGAAAGGATTCAGCTCATGAAGAGGAAGCTGGAGGGATCCAGACTCCCCGCCACGTTTCTAATCCTCAGGTAGGAACCCTCTGCTCTGTCATCTTCAGCTTTTTCTGGAGCTTCTGTGCAGCTCCTTCTCTCCTTTGGCTAATCTGCTGAAGCCTTATTTCCCAGAGTTCCCAGCAACAAAATTCCTTTACATTTCACTTCCTGATGTTTTCCAAAACTGTTCTAAAGCACTGACAAAGGCTGTTCCTCTGAAATGCAGCTCTCAAAACAAACAGATGCTGGGACTGTTTCTGAGTGAAATATAATTTCCATGTTAATCAACTGCCTAATGGGAATTCCACTAATTCTGACAAACCAAAGCTTGTTTAAAAGTTGATTCAAACTTCAAAATTCAAGTTTATAACTCAGGTTATATTCCCTGCATGTAGAAATTGGTGGCATTTATACATGGAGGACTGCTTCACACAGGTCCTTAAGATTTCTTAAAACAGGATAGCTGTAGGTAAGTGTCAGTGATTCCCTGTACCAAACCAGCACATGCTTCTCTCTGCCAGGGCCCTGCAGCACACCCAGCTGTAAAAGCTGTGATTCCCAGGGGTTATCACCATTTAAATACCCCCAGAATTCAATTTTAACTGTGCAGAGCAGTGGTGCCCCAGCACTGAGCCCTGCTGGGTGTCTCCAGTGTGTTTTTCCTGCTGTAACAAGACAAAATCTATTTTCTGATTGCAGGTTGATCACTTGACTCGTAAAACATCTGAGCTGATTGTGTCAGAGAGCAGGACAAGAAGTGGAAAGATATTCCAGAGCTGCATTGTTAGTATCAGTTTTTCTTTAGTTCTCATCATTTCTGTTGCAAAATGAATAAAACTCAGAGCTTGAATGCATTTGCTATTGACAGAACGAAATTCTCATCACTTCCTCAATTCCCATTCAATTCAACAGTGTCAAAAATAATTCTGTCCCCAGGAGCTGGAAGCTGATTTGATGCAGGTAGCACAGGTTGAGGAAGATTCCTTAGTTTTAGTTGATATTCAGCCAAATTTCCTGCTGGTTTCACCCATCAGCCAGGGGAGTTTGTGGCAGCAGAGATCCCCAGCACAGCTGACCCAGTGCCTCCTTGTGCTTCTACTTGGGAAACACTGGGCCAAAATTCTAACCTCACCTCTGTGACTCCTTCATTTCAATAAAAAACCCTTTTTTAACTTAAATCAGGTCGGTCTGGCAGGCAGTGCTGCTTGTGGGGACCCAAAGCCTTCACAGCTGGAGCAGAGTTTTGTGTCCAGGCTGGAATTTGACCTTGGGCCCCATGTCTGTGCTGCTCCTTCCCTGGCTGAGCTTGGCAGCTGCAGCTCTGGGAGTATTTGGGATATTGGGAATGCTGAGTGAGGGGCAGAGCCTTCTCCAAAACCCGGGGGGTGAATTTTTCTCTCTTCTCTGAGGCAAGAAATTGTTCCCTGTGAGGGGTGGAATTCCCAGAGCAGCTGTGGCTGCCCTGCATCCCTGGAAGTGTCCCAGGCCAGCTTGGGACACCTGGGACAGTGGAAGGTGTCCCTGCCCAGGGCGGGGCTGGCACTGGGTGAGCTCCGAGGTCCCTGCCTGCTTCCAACCAGTCACATTCAGTGCTTTTTCTTACTCAGTGATGTGACAAAAAAACAAAAAAAGAGGAGGTTGTTCTGTTTGCTCACCATCCCTGTGTAGTTTTCAAAGGGATTTTGCTGAACTTAAAAATAAATTTATTAAACAAAACAAAATTGCTTTAAATAACCAAAATTAGAGTGGAGCTGAAGGTTCATTGCCATCCCTTCATGGGAGAGTCAGAAGCAGCAGGACTGAGCTCTCAGAGGTTGTAGGTGCAGAGCTGGAATCAGGGAATGGTTTGGATTTCGAGTCCCCTTCCACCACCCCAGGCTGCTCCTGGCCCTGTCCAGCCTGGCCTTGCCCACTTCCAGGGATGGGGCATCCAGGGATCACCTGTGCCAGGGCCTGCCCACCTCACAGGGGAGGATTGCTCCCACATCCCCAACCTCGATTTCTCCTTTTTCAGTCTGAACCTCCCCACCTGACAGGGGAGGATTGCTCCCACATCCCCAGCCTCGATTTCTCCTTTTTCAGTCTGAACCTCCCCACCTCACAGGGGAGGATTGCTCCCACATCCCCAGCCTTAGTTTCCCCTCCTCTTTCAGTCTGAACCTCCCCACCTGACAGGGAACAATTTCTCCCATATTTCCAACCTCAGTTTCCCCTCTTTCAGTCTGAGCCCAGCACTCCCTGCCCTGCTGGACACAGCTCCTTGGTGCAGCTGTGGCAGCAGGAATACATCCCAGCAGGAAAACAACCATGCCAGCCTTCCTGAGCGGGTCACTTCTGCCAGGAAATGGCATCCAGATGTTCCTGCAGGGCCAGCACATCTGTGCCACCCCCTGTCCTGCTGAGCCCTGGCCTGGCCCCACGGAGCTCCTGTAATTCCATTCTTGGTTTTCCTTGGCAGGTGCACCAGGCTGAGCTCTCCTCCAGCCAGGACGTGCTGCCCAAAAGGAGGAAGCTCAGCGAGCCCAAGGAGCAGATTTAGTTGCCCAAAGGGATGAAACTCAGTGAGCCCAAGGAGCAGTTTTAGTTGCCCAAAAGGAGGAATTTCCACAAGCTCAAGGAGCAGTTTTATTTGCCCAAAAGGAGGAATTTCAACAAGCTCAAGGAGCAGTTTTATTTGCCCAAAAGGAGAAGCTCAACGAGCCCAAGGAGCAGTTTGAGTTGCCCAAAAGCTGCTGAGCCCTGGCCTGGCCCCACGGAGCTCCTGTAATTCCATTCTTGGTTTTCCTTGGCAGGTGCACCAGGCTGAGCTCTCCTCCAGCCAGGACGTGCTGCCCAAAAGGAGGAAGCTCAGCGAGCCCAAGGAGCAGATTTAGTTGCCCAAAGGGATGAAACTCAGTGAGCCCAAGGAGCAGTTTTATTTGCCCAAAAGGAGGAATTTCCACAAGCTCAAGGAGCAGTTTTATTTGCCCAAAAGGAGAAGCTCAACAAGCCCAAGGAGCAGTTTGAGTTGCCCAAAAGAATGAAACTGAGTGAGCCCCAGGAGCAGTTTTAGTTGCCCAAAAGGAGAAGCTCAGCAAGCCCAAGGAGCAGTTTGAGTTGCCCAAAAAGAGGAATCTGAACCGGCCCCAGGGGCAGTTTGAGTTGCCCAAAAGGAGGAATTTCCATCAGCCCCAGGGGCAGTTTGAGTTGCCCAAAAGGAGGAATTTCCATCAGCCCCAGGGGCAGTTTGAGTTGCCCATCTCCTGTTTGGGTCCCCACCCCAGTTTGGTTGTGCACGTTGGGTTTGAGGATCTGTTCTGCTCCGTTTGCAGCCCCGTGTGTTTCAAGGAAGGAAAGCCTCAGGAAGCCCAGCTGAAGAATTCCAAACTCATTTTGTGTGGGATCCCAAATCCCAGGATTTGGGGTTTGTGGGGCACTGATGGTGGTGGAGGCAATTCCCCCCAGCACAAGGTTCCACCAGTGCCTGTGGTTCTGAGCTGAGGCCCTGCCTGCCCCAAAACCTCTCCAGTTTTGGGGTGGTTTCCAGAGTTTCCACGGGGCTGGGCTGCCAGTTACTCTGTTACAGTTTTGGGTTGCAGATTTTGTTTTTCCTGCGGGGACATTGGCAGGAGCTGGATGCTTTGCATTTCTTGCAGACCAGCAGCACCATCAATCCTCTTCATGCCTGCAATTCCAGCCTCCCTGCCAGGAGTTTCGGTGTCCGTGGTTTTCCGGGGGAGCCGGGCTGTCCCCGGAGCGGTTTGTGGCGGGCGGGACACGGGGCACGGGGCACGGGCCGGCTCCTCCTGCCCCCGAACCGTGCCAGGAACGGGCGTGAAGCCGCTCCCGCCGCCGGGCGGGACAGCGGAGCGTTCCTCGGCTTTGGCTTTTCAATTAACGGCGGTGTTCGTCAGCGCTGCTCCATTAAACGGCGTTCAGCTTCGGCGGCGTGGTCCGATACCGGCGGGACGGGACGGGACGGGAGAGGGAACGGGACGGGACGGGAACGGGTGGGGTACGGGAACGAGACACGGGACTGGAACGGGACACGGGACGGGAATGGGAACGGGATGGGAGAAGGAGGCAGAACGGGAATGGGATGGGATACGGGACAGGACACAGGACAAGTTGTCACTGGAACGGGGCTGTGGCACGGGACAGGACACACGGGACAGGACCGGAGCAGGGCTGTGGGGCCGTGGCACAGGACAGGACACACGGGACGGGACTGGAGCGGGGCTGTGGCACGGGACAGGACCGGAGCAGGGCTGTGACACGGCTGTGGCACGGCTGTGGCACGGGTGTGACACGGGACACGAGCTGCAGCGGGAGCCGGACACGACACGCGGGCGGGGGCGGAGCCTCCCTGACTGACAGGAGGAAGTCCCGCCCCCGACCCAGCCGAGCCGCGCTCATTGGCTGCTCAGACGCGCGCGGGCCCCCATTGGTCAGGGCCGCGGCGTGGGCGGGCCCAGCGGAGGCAGGAAGCGGCGGGGGCTTTTCCTGCCCGCGGCCCCGAGCGGAGCGGAGCGGGGCGGGCGGACCCGCCGGGCCGCGGTGAGAGCGGGCAGCGGGCCTCGGCAGCCCCCAGCCCTCGTGAGGGGGGCGGGTCTTCACCCGCGGGGCGCTGCGGGATGGAGCGGGGCCGGGCCGGGAGGGGCGGACGGAGCCCAGGGGTGAGGCGGGGACAGGGCCGGCCCGGGGCGCTGCCGGGGCTGCGGGACCCGTGCGGCCTCAGGGGCTCTGCTGCGCCTCGGGGGTCCCCACACAGAGCGGGGCGTGCGACAGACCCAGCCCGTGAGGCGGACGGGGGTCCCCGAGAGCCCCGGGAGCGGGGAGTGCTGCGGGGAACGGACCGGCGGCCCTTGGTCTGGGGGTTTGGCCTGGAGAATGGGATCTGGGTCTGGGGGAGAGAATCTGGGTCTGAGGGAGGGGGTGTGGGTCTGGGGGAGCTGGAAATCCTGGGGTGGGAGCGGCCCTTGGTCTGGGGATGGGGGTTTGGGTCTGAGGGAGGGGGTTTGGGCCTGGAGAATGGGATTGGAGCGGGGAGTGCTGCGGGGAACGGACCGGCGGCCCTTGGTCTGGGGAGGGACTGGGGGTTTGGCCTGGAGAATGGGATCTGGGTCTGGGGGAGAGAATCTGGGTCTGAGGGAGGGGGTGTGGGTCTGGGAGAGCTGGAAATCCTGGGGTAGGAGTGGAGAGCATCCCTGGGTCTGGGGGAAGGGGTCTGGGTCTGGGCATGGGGGTCTAAGGGTGGGGGTTTGGGCCTGGGAATGGGAGTTTGGGTCTGGGGGAAGGGATCTGGGGGGGATTGGGTCTGGGGGAGCTGGACGTCCTGGGGTAGGTGTAGTGAGCGTCCCTTGGTGTGAGGGAAGGGGTTTGGGCCTGGGGGAGTTGGAGTCCTGGGGTAGGAGCAGCAAACTTCCCTGGGTTTGGGGGAAGGGGTTTGGGTCTGGGGTCAGGGAATGGGGGTTTGAGTTTGGTGGAGCTGGAAAGCCTGGGGTAGGAGCAGCGAGTGTAGCTTGGTCTGCTCCTGGGGGTTTGGGTTTCGGGAAGGCAGTTTGGAGGAGTGGATTTGGGGATGGGGGTTTGGGTCTGGGAATAGGGGTTTGGAGGAGTGGGTTTGGGGATGAGGGTTTGAGTGTGGGGGAGTGGGTTTGGGGCTGGGAATGGGGGTCTGAGGGTGGGGGTTTGGGTATGGCAAAGTGAGTTTGGAGGAATGGATTTGGGGATGGGGGTTTGGGTCTGGGGGTTTGGGCACGGCAAAGTGCGTTTGGAGGGATGGATTTGGGGATGGGGGTTTGGGTCTGGCAATAGGGGTCTGGGAGTTTGGATCTGAGAAAGGGGTTTTGGAGGACTGGGTTTCAGTCTGGGGAAGGGGGTTTGGGTCTGAGGGTGGGGGTTTGGCTCTGGGTGGGGGTTTGGGTCTGGGGGTTTGGAGGAGTGGGTCTGAGGGTCTGGGAATGGGGGTCTGAGGGTAGGGATTTAGGTCTGGGGAAGAGGGTTTTGGTCTTGGGGGTTTGGAGGAGTGGGTTAGGCTCTGGGGGCCCAGCCCTGCCCCAGTGTTGATCCCCGTGCCCCCCCAGGAGATGACCACCCTGACGCACCGGGGCCGGCGCGCCGAGGGCAAGGAGAGGAAGGGGGAGGGCGAGGAGGAGCCCGAGCTGAACGAGGAGGAGCCCGACGACTCCAAGGACATCCGGCTGACCCTGATGGAGGAGGTGCTGCTGCTGGGGCTGAAGGACAAGGAGGTGAGGCTGGGCACCTGGCAGTGCCCACCCAAGCTGGGCTCCAGGCTCTCGGGGGGTTGGGTGGGTGGGGTTGTGTTCAGGGGTCCCAGGACGAGGGGAGAGATGAGAATCTTGACTCCATCTTTCAGAAGGCTCATTTATTTTATTATATTAAAATGCTATATTAAAACTATACTAAAAAGAATAGGGAAAGGATCCATCAGAAAGATGGAAAAGAAAGGAATGGAATAGATAACAAAATCTTGTGACTGCTCACAGCCTCGACACAGGTGGCTGTCATTGGTCATCAAGTGAAAACAATTCACATGCTGGGTAAACAGTTCTCCAAATCACATTCCAAAGCAGCAAAACGTGGAGAAGCTGAAGCTCCCCAGCTTCTCACGAGAAAAGATCCTGGCAAAAGGATTTTTCATAAAATTTGTCTGTGACAGGGGGGTTCTTCTCAGTGTTCTCCCTTAGAACCTGCTTGGGATCACAAGATTGTGTTCACAGAATTCACAGAATGGCTGGGCTGGAAGAGACCTTAAAGATCATGGAGCCCAACACCTCAGCTGAGCCGTGGCCCTGGGTGTTGGAAGGGACTGTGAAGCTCATCCAGTTCCCAACCCTCACCATGGGCAGGGACACCTCCCACCATCCCAGGCTGCTCCAAGCCCTGTCCAGCCTGGCCTTGGCCACTTCCAGGGATGGGCCAGCTGCTGTGGGCTGCCTGTGCCAGGAGATGGCAACCTGAGCTGTGCATGGGGCTGGCAAGGGCTGTCCCAGCTGCTCTGCCCTGGGGACAGTGGCACGAGGTCAGGGGTGCCCTGGGGACAGTGGCAGAGCACAGTTGGGGTTGTTCTTAACAGGGCTGAAGGGCTGAGCTGAGGCTCAAGCTGATTTATCAAAGGGTGAACATCCTCCTCTGCAGCCCCAAAACAGCAGCTGAACACCATGAGCACTGCTCTGCTCTTTAAAAATCCATGTGCCAAAACAGCAGCTGAACACCATGAGCACTGCTCTGCTCTTTAAAAATCATGTGGGGAAGAGGAGAGGGAAGAGGAGAGGGCAGCAGAGGCAGCTGGGCTGGGAGCTGGAGCAGCCACAGTGGACAGGGAGCAGGAGCTGCAGCTCTGCTGCCTTCCTGGGCCAGGCAGGGCTGGGGCTGTCACTGCTGGGAGCTCCAGGTGTGCCTGCCACCCTGGGGAAGGAGATCCTGCTCAAACACAATTGCTTGGTGCTTATCAGCTGCTGGGAACTGGTTAGTCAGCCCTGCCTGGAAGGGGAAGATGCCTGCTGTGGAATTCTCTGTGCTTTCCCTGTGCCTTGACTTCACCCCTGCTTCCATTTCCTGCAGCAGCTCGGGGCAATCTTTGGCAGGGAGGGTGGGGAGGCCCTGGCACAGGTGATTCCAGGGCTGCCCCATCCCTGGGAGTGGCCCAGGCCAGGCTGGACGGGGCTGGGAGCAGCCTGCTGTGGTGGAACCTGTCCCTGCCGTGACAGGGAATGGGATTTGTTGATCTTTAAGGTCCCTTCCAACCCAAACCATTCCACAGTTCTGAAATCTGCTATTCCTCACCAGTGGATGGGGAATTGCAGACCAGGGGAAGCCACCAGGTGTCCAAAGTGCTTTTTGAGGTGACAGTGGCAGAGCAGAAGCTTCTAGAAGGGCTCTCCAGCTGCAGGAACCCACTTTGGCCAAGACTGAGCTTAGTGGTCCTGGAGATCTTTCCCAGCTGTGGTTATTCCATGATTGCTGTGTGAGCCTGGCTCCCCCCCTGAGGAGCTGGGGTGGATGTCCTCCTCCTCCTCACCCCTCAGGGATGGAATTGAACCTTTGTGAGGTGCCAGAACCTTCTTCCCAGCAGGGCTCTGCACTTCTGGGCTGCTCCCAGAGCTGTGCCACAGCTCGTGACAGTGCCAAGGGCTGGGGCTGTCCTGTTTGAGAGCCCCAGATAAGATCTGGGAGCCAACTGGGAAGTGGCAGGAGCTCAGGGCTGTACAGGGAACACAATGCAAATAATCCTGCAGCAAATATTTGAGGGCTTTTTTTCCTGGGCTGTGTTTGGTGTTCTTGGTTAATGTATCCTGGGAACAGCCCTTGAGCCACCAGGAACCTGGGAGAGCACAACAAACAGGGGAAAAAACCCTTGTCACTCTTTTATTTATTTATTTATTTATTTTTATTCCATCCTGTCCTTCCACATTCCTGTAGCTCACAACCAGAGGCAGCAGCAGCCTGGCCCTGAGCTGGGCTCTGTTTTCACAGCTCGGGTGTTCACTCATGCTTTGATGACTGGGGAAAAACAAGATGATTTTTGCCAAATTCAATGAGCTCACGGTGTAATTTCATTATTTAAAGTGCCAGTCTGTCCATGTAGGAGGACCTGGCTGCACACCAGCCTGGCTTTTGTAACCAGTCTGATTCCAGAAGCTGGAAATAGCCCAGGAGCTTTGGGATTTAAAATTTCCTAGGGGTAACCTGCCCTTGAGGCCAGGAAATTGAAACCTTTGCTCATCTTCACACCCTTTCCTGGAGAACTTGTTTGTAAAAGCCATGAGCACAACCCAGGGAAGGAAACCAGGAGGGCAGGGATGAAAGGTTCCTTTGTCTGCCTGCACGAGGAAGTGGAGAAAGCAAATAAAAATATTCATTTCTTTTATGGTTCTCCGTGCTGGGCAAGCCCAGAGTCCACATGCCCTGCTCAAACAGAGCCCCAGGGGATGGGAATTCAGCCCTGGGGAGGGCTGGGGGCTCCCAGCCTCTTTGCCTTGGGTTTTTCTCCAGTCTCCTGGTGGCTTTTAGGTCCTTCTCTCCTTGTTTTCCATCCAGAGAAAGAGCAGCAGGAAAGGAAGAAAGAGAGCAGCAGGAAAGGGGGGGAAAAAGAGCAGAGAAGGAGGAAAGAAAGCAGCAGAAAAAAGCAGCGTAAAGGGAGGGATAAAAGAGCAGAAGGGGGGGAGAGAAAACAGCAGAAAGAGAAGCAGAAAGGGAGAGGAAAAAAGAGGAGAAAGAGAGGAGAAAAAGCAGCATAAAGGGAGAAAGAGCAGAAAGGAAGGGAAGAAAGCAACAGAAAGGGAGGGGAAAAGGGCAGAAAGAGCAGCAGAAAGGTGGAAATTCCCACCAGGAACCCCTTGCAGGTGTGCTGGGGTCTCTGCAAACCCCCCTGTGGTGGCTGTGATCCCACTGGGGGCACCCCTCAAATGCCACCCCAGCCCCCCGAGGCTCTCCCTGAGCCCTGGCTGCTCCTGGCTTGCCCTGAAACCCAAGGAACAGAGGGAAACAATGGGGCTTTGTTCTCATCAGGGAGTGAAAGAGGAATGGGAGAAGGGGAGGGAAGGAAAGGTCACCTGGGCTGTCCCATTGCTCCAAAGCACAGCCAGCTCTCTTGGAAAGCATCTCTTGAGTGTTCTTGAAGCTCAGGGAGCAGCAAATTCCCTGGGCAAATTCCCTCCCTGGGCAAATTCTCAGGGCAAATTCCCTCTCTGCCCTTCCCTGGGAAAATTCCCTGGGCAGATTCCTTCCCTGCCCTTCCCTGGCCTTTCTTGTCCAGGTGTTCTGGTTTTTTTTCTCCCTGGCTGCAATTCCAACCCAGAACTGTCCTGTGCACTCTGGAGCTTGGGGTTCTCTTCCTTTTTGCTGCTCCTTTTTTATGATCAGACAGGAGCAGGGAAATCTGGGAAGGTTTGGAAAGAGGAGCAGAGAAATCTGGGAGGGTTTGGTGAGAAAGGAGCAGAAACAGGAGCAGGGAAATTTGGGAACGTTTAGAGAGAGGAACAGAGAAATCTGGGAGGGTTTAGAGAAACAGGAACGGGGAAATCTGGAAAGTTTTGGATAAAAGAGCAGGGAAATCTGGGAGGGTTTGGAGAGAGGAGCAGAGACGGGAGCAGGGAGACTTAGGAAGGTTTAGAGAGACAGGAGCAGAGAAATCTGGGAAGGTTTGGAGAGAGGAGCAGAGACAGGAGCAGGGAGACTTAGGAAGGTTTGGAGAGACAGGAGCAGAGAAATCTGGGAAGGTTTGGAGAGACAGGAGGAGGGAAATTTGGGAAGGTTTGGCGAAAAGGGAGCAGGGAAATTTGGGAAGGGTTGGAGAGAGTAGGGAAATGTGGAAATTGGGGGAGCTTTGGAGAGACGGGAGGAGGGAAATGTGGGAAGGTTTGGAGAGACAGGAAGAGGGAAATTTGGGAAGGTTTAGAGGGAGGGGCAGGAAAATCTGGGAAGCTTTGGAGAGACAGGAGCAGGGAAATGTGGAAATCTGGGAGGGTTTGGAGAAAGGAGCAGGGAAATGTGGAAATCTGGGAGAGTTTGGAGAGACGGGAGCAGGGAAATGTGGAAATCTGGGAGGGTTTGGAGAAGGAACAGAGACAGGAGCAGGGAAATGTGGACATCTGGGAGGGTTTGGAGAAGGAGCAGAGACAGGAGCAGGGAAATGTGGGAATCTGGGAGGGTTTGGAGAAGGAGCAGGGAAATGTGGAAATCTGGGAGGGTTTGGAGAAGGAGCAGGGAAATGTGGAAATCTGGGAGGGTTTGGAGAAGGAGCAGAGACAGGAGCAGGGAAATGTGGAAATCTGGGAGGCTTTGGAGAGACAGGAGCAGGGAATCTGGGAGGGTTTGGAGAAGGAGCAGAGACAGGAGCAGGGAAATGTGGAAATCTGGGAGGGTTTGGAGAAGGAGCAGGGAAATGTGGAAATCTGGGAGCTTTGTGGAGACTCCTGGTGAGGATCCAGCCAGGCCAGGAGGGCGCAGAGGCAGAGGAGAGGAGAGAACCCCTCCCGTTTGCTCGCCAGGGCTACACGTCCTTCTGGAACGACTGCATCTCCTCGGGGCTGCGCGGGGGGATCCTGATCGAGCTGGCCCTGCGCGGCCGCATCCGCCTGGAGCCCCTGGCCCTGAGGAGGAGGAGGCTGCTGGAGAGGAAGGTGAGGAGGGGGAGGCGCCTGGGGAGGGTGGTGAGGGTGGTGAGGATGCTGGGAGGAATGTGAGGCTAGGGAGGAAGATGAGGACAGGGTGGATGCTGGGGAGGAAGGTGGGGATGGGGAGGAAGGTGAAGATGCTGGAAGGAAGGTGAGGCTGGGGAGGATGCTAGAGAGGAAAGTGAGGCTGCTGGGGAGGAAGGTGAGGATGGGGAGGAAGGTGAGGATGGGGAGGAAGGTGAGGATGGGGAGGAAGGTGAGGATGGGGAGGAAGGTGAGGGTGCTGGGGAGGAAGGTGAGGATGGGGAGGAGGCTGGAGAGGAAGGTGAGGATGGTGAGGGTGCTGGGAGGAAGGTGAGGATGCTGGGGAGGAAGGTGAGTATAATACATAGTATAATATATTATAATTATATAAATTTACAATATTATAATATTATATAATATTAATAGAGTATGATAATGTATAATTATAATAGCAACAGAAAGGGAGGGGAAAAGGGCAGAAAGAGCAGCAGAAAGGTGGAAATTCCCACCAGGAACCCCTTGCAGGTGTGCTGGGGTCTCTGCAAACCCCCCTGTGGTGGCTGTGATCCCACTGGGGGCACCCCTCAAATGCCACCCCAGCCCCCCGAGGCTCTCCCTGAGCCCTGGCTGCTCCTGGCTTGCCCTGAAACCCAAGGAACAGAGGGAAACAATGGGGCTTTGTTCTCATCAGGGAGTGAAAGAGGAATGGGAGAAGGGGAGGGAAGGAAAGGTCACCTGGGCTGCCCCATTGCTCCAAAGCACAGCCAGCTCTCTTGGAAAGCATCTCTTGAGTGTTCTTGAAGCTCAGGGAGCAGCAAATTCCCTGGGCAAATTCCCTCCCTGGGCAAATTCTCAGGGCAAATTCCCTCTCTGCCCTTCCCTGGGAAAATTCCCTGGGCAGATTCCTTCCCTGCCCTTCCCTGGCCTTTCTTGTCCAGGTGTTCTGGTTTTTTTTCTCCCTGGCTGCAATTCCAACCCAGAACTGTCCTGTGCACTCTGGAGCTTGGGGTTCTCTTCCTTTTTGCTGCTCCTTTTTTATGATCAGACAGGAGCAGGGAAATCTGGGAAGGTTTGGAAAGAGGAGCAGAGAAATCTGGGAGGGTTTGGTGAGAAAGGAGCAGAAACAGGAGCAGGGAAATTTGGGAACGTTTAGAGAGAGGAACAGAGAAATCTGGGAGGGTTTAGAGAAACAGGAACGGGGAAATCTGGAAAGTTTTGGATAAAAAAGGAGCAGGGAAATCTGGGAAGGTTTGGAGAGAGGAGCAGAGACAGGAGCAGGGAGACTTAGGAAGGTTTGGAGAGACAGGAGCAGAGAAATCTGGGAAGGTTTGGAGAGACAGGAGGAGGGAAATTTGGGAAGTTTTGGCGAAAAGGGAGCAGGGAAATTTGGGAAGGGTTGGAGAGAGTAGGGAAATGTGGAAATTGGGGGAGCTTTGGAGAGACGGGAGGAGGGAAATGTGGGAAGGTTTGGAGAGACAGGAAGAGGGAAATTTGGGAAGGTTTAGAGGGAGGGGCAGGAAAATCTGGGAAGCTTTGGAGAGACAGGAGCAGGGAAATGTGGAAATCTGGGAGGCTTTGGAGAGACAGGAGCAGGGAAATGTGGAAATCTGGGAGGGTTTGGAGAAGGAGCAGGGAAATGTGGACATCTGGGAGCTTTGTGGAGACTCCTGGTGAGGATCCAGCCAGGCCAGGAGGGCTGAGAGGCAGAGGAGAGGAGAGAACCCCTCCCGTTTGCTCGCCAGGGCTACACGTCCTTCTGGAACGACTGCATCTCCTCGGGGCTGCGCGGGGGGATCCTGATCGAGCTGGCCCTGCGCGGCCGCATCCGCCTGGAGCCCCTGGCCCTGAGGAGGAGGAGGCTGCTGGAGAGGAAGGTGAGGAGGGGGAGGCGCCTGGGGAGGGAGGTGAGGATGGTGAGGATGCTGGGAGGAATGTGAGGCTAGGGAGGAAGATGAGGACAGGGAAGGTGAGGAGGGGGAGGCGCCTGGGGAGGCTGGGGAGGGAGGGGAGGCTGCTGGGGAGGAAGGTGAGGATGGGGAGGAAGGTGAGCATGGGGAGGGAGGGGAGGCTGCTGGTGAGGATGCTGGGAGGAATGTGAGGCTAGGGAGGAAGATGAGGACAGGGTGGATGCTGGGGAGGAAGGTGGGGATGGGGAGGAAGGTGAAGATGCTGGAAGGAAGGTGAGGCTGGGGAGGATGCTAGAGAGGAAAGTGAGGCTGCTGGGGAGGAAGGTGAGGATGGGGAGGAAGGTGAGGGTGCTGGGGAGGAAGGTGAGGATGGGGAGGAGGCTGGAGAGGAAGGTGAGGATGGTGAGGGTGCTGGGAGGAAGGTGAGGATGCTGGGGAGGAAGGTGAGTATAATACATAGTATAATATATTATAATCATATAAATTTACAATATTATAATATTATATAATATTAATAGAATATGATAATGTATAATTATAATAGTATAATATAACAATGATACAAAATTACAATACAGTAATATATAATGTTAATAGAATATTATTTTAAGATATTATAATAGTATAGTATTATCTAATAACGTCACAAAATTGCAATATTACAATATAATATTAATAGAATATTATACTAATATATAATGATAATTGTATAACATTATATAACAATAATATAAAATTACAATATTATAATATTGAATAACAATAGAATATTATCTTGATATATACTTATTAAATATTATATAACAATGATACAAAATTACAATTTAGTAATAGTCTATAATAATAGAATATTATATTAACATATCATTATAATAGTATAGTATTATTTAATGTCACAAAATTACAATATTATAATATATAATATTAATAGAATATTAATAGAATAATATATTAATGTATAATAATTTATATTATATTAACAATATAATAATTGTATATTTATAGTAACAATAATATAAAATTACGATATTATATAATAATTTAATATTATCTTAATGTATACTTATTATATATTATATAACAATGATGCAGAATTACAATTTTATAATATTATATAATGATAATAGAATATTATATTAGTCTATAATTATAATAGTAAAATACTATTTAATAATGACACAAAAGACTATATTATAATGTTGTATAATAATAGAATATTATATTAGTCTATAATTATAATAGTAAAATACTATTTAATAATGACACAAAAGACTATATTATAATGTTGTATAATAATAGAATATGATATCATTTTAACAGTATAATATTATATAATCTTTTTGGAAGTGGACAGTATGACAGTATTTATGGCAATGTTCTCTGCCGTTGCTGCTCCAGGTGCTGCTGAAGTCGGACGCCCCCACGGGGGACGTGCTGCTGGATGAGACCCTCAGGCACATCAAGGCCACGGAGCCAGCAGAGACGGTGCAGACCTGGATAGAGCTGCTCACTGGTAGGGCTGGGTGGGCATTCCATCACCCCAGCTCCCTCCAGGGCTGTCCAAACCTCCCTGAGACCCCCCAAAATCCATCCAGGGTCACCCTCTGCATGCAGAGCTCCAGGATCTGGTGGTGAGGGAACCCCAAGTCCAGCCTGGACCCTCCAAAACCCCTGTCCAGGGCTGTCCAAACATCCCTCAGAGCTCCTGTGGCAGAGCCAGGTGTCCATGCAGGACACCATGGAAGGGTGGAAGGACGTTGGGATTGGGACAGAAACGTTGAGCAGAGCCTCCCTGGCCTGGCTGTGATGCCTGGAGATGAGGAGAGCAGGAGAAAGCTGATGGGAAGGCTGAATGTGGGGGCAGAGAAGAATTTTCTGTGTGTTCCTTTGCTGGGAGCTTGGTGGAAATCTTGGACCTCAGAGCTCCTGTGGCAGGGCCTGGCGTCCATGCAGGACATCATGGAAGGGTGAAAGAGCACTGGGATTGGGAAAGAAACCTTGAGCAGAGCCTCCCTGGCCTGGCTCTGGATCCCTGGAGGTTCCTGGAGAGGGGGAGAGCAGGAGAAGGTTGAATTTATGGGCTAAGAAGAATTTTCTGGGTTGGGAGCTGGGTGGAAATCTTTTATCTCAGAGCTCCTGTGGCAGGGCCTGGTGTGCATGGAGGACACCATGGAAGGGTGGAAGGACACTGGGATTGGGAAAGAAACCTTGACCAGAGTCTCTCTGGATCTGGATCTGATCTCTGGAGGTCCCTGGGGATGAGGAAAGCAGGGGAAGGCTGAATGTGAGGGAAAGAAGAATTTTCTGGGTTGGGAGCTTGGTGGAAGTCTTGGACCTCAGAGCTCCTGTGGCAGGGCCTGGTGTCCATACAGACACCATGGAAGGGGGAGAAAGCTGATGGGAAGGCTGAATGTGGGGGCAGAGGAGAATTTTCTGTGTGTTCCTTTGCTGGGAGCTTGGTGGAAGTCTTGGACCTCAGAGCTCCTGTGGCAGGGCCTGGTGTCCATGCAGGACATCATGGAAGGGTGAAAGAGCACTGGGATTGGGAAAGAAACCTTGAGCAGAGCCTCCCTGGCCTGGCTCTGGATCTCTAGAGCTCTCTGGAGGTCCCTGGAGATGGGGAGAGCAGGAGAAGGTTGAATTTGTGGGCAAAGAAGAATTTTCTGGGTTGGGAGCTTGGTGGAAATCTTGGTCCTCAGAGCTCCTGTGGCAGGGCCTGGTGTCCATACAGACACCATGGAAGGGTGGGAGGACACTGGGATTGGGGAGCAAACCTTGAGTAGAACCTGCCTGGCCTGGATCTGATCCCTGGAGGTCCCTGGGGATGAGGAAAGCAGGGGAAGGCTGAATGTGAGGGAAAGAAGAATTTTCTGGGTTGTGCGCTTGGTGGAACTCTTGGTCCTCAGAGCTCCTGTGGCAGGGCCTGGTGTCCATACAGACACCATGGAAGGGTGGGAGGACACTGGGATTGGGGAGCAAACCTTGAGTAGAACCTGCCTGGCCTGGATCTGATCCCTGGAGGTCCCTGGAGATGAGGAGATCAAGGAAAGGCTGAATGTGGGGACAGAGAAGAATTTTTTGAGTTAGGAGCTGGGTGGAAATCTTGGACCTCAGAGCTGGAAAGACGTTGGGATTGGGAAAGAAACCTTGATCAGAGCCTCCCTGTCCTGGCTCTGGATCTCTAGAGCTCCCTGGAGGTCCCTGGGGATGGGGAGAGCAGGAGAAGGTTGAATTTGTGGGCAAAGAAGAATTTTCTGGGTGGGAGTTTGGTGGAGATCTTGGTCCTCAGAGCTCCTGTGGCAGGAAGGCTGGAAGGACGTTGGGATTGAGGATTGGGGAGCAAACCTTGATCAGAGCCCTCCTGCCTCCCCAGGAGAGACGTGGAACCCCTTCAAGCTGCAGTACCAGCTGCGCAACGTGCGGGAGCGGCTGGCCAAGGCGCTGGTGGAGAAGGGCATCCTGACCACGGAGAAGCAGAACTTCCTGCTCTTCGACATGACCACGCACCCGGTGAGCAACGCCTCCGAGAAGCAGCGCCTGCTGAGGCGGCTGCAGGAGAGCGTCCTGGAGCGCTGGGTCAACGAGCCCCAGCGCATGGAGCGCCGGACTCTGGCCCTGCTGGTGCTGGCCCACGCCTCCGACGTGCTGGAGAACGTTTTCGCCAGCCTGGCCGACGACAAGTACGACCTGGCCATGAACAGGACCAAGGACCTGCTGGACATGGACCCCGAGGTGGAGGCGGCCAAAGGAAAGGGCACCGAGATGATCTGGGCCGTGCTGGCCGCCTTCAATAAGTCCTAAAAGTCCTCCTTGGTGGGTCCCCGTGCTGGGGTCGCACCCTGGGGTCTCCCCAGAGGGACCTGGAGCTGCAAGGTGCCAAGGCAAGGGGCGCTGGGATGATCTGGGCCGTGCTGGTGGCCTTCAGTGAAACACTTCTCACGTGGCATGGGGAGATCCTTGGTGGGTCCCATCACGGGCACCTCACACCCCAGCTGGGGTCACACCCTGGGGGCTCCCCAGAGGGACCTGGAGCTGATCTGGTGACCTGGGCCGTGCTGGTGGCCTTCAGGAAGTCCTTAACCCCTCACACAGGGTGGAGGAGACCCTTGGTGGGTCCCATCAAGGAGAGCCCTCTCCCCACGGGGACCTGCAGCTCCTGAGGCACAGGCATGGAGATGATCTGGGCTCTGCTGGTGGCCTTCACTAAGTCCTAAACTCCTCCTCACGTGGTGTGGGGAAGACCCTTGATGGGTCCCATCCTGAGGTGCCACCTGGGCTCCCACCCTGGGGTCCCCCCAGAGGGACCTGGAGCTGGAAGGTGCCAAAGCAATGGGCACAGCGATGATCTGGGCCGTGCTGGTGCCCTTCAAGGAGTCCTGAACTCCTCCCACAGGCTGGAGGTGACCCTTGGTGGGTCCCATCAAGGAGAACCCTCTCCCCGTGGGCACCTGCAGCCCCCGGGGCACTGGCTGGGCTCAGCCTGGGGAGGGACCAGGGGATTTTTGCTTTTCCCCTCCCCAGGTGGGTGAGAACCCCCCAGCAGCCCCAGCACAGCCTCCGGGGGAGGTGGCAGCAGCTCCTTGGGCATTTCCTTCTGAGGCCAGTGCAGAGCCGGGGGTGGCACGGATGGGGGTGGCAGTGCCAGGGGTGGCAGTCTTCACTAAGTCCTAAACTCCTCCTCACGTGGTGTGGGGAAGACCCTTGATGGGTCCCATCCTGAGGTGCCACCTGGGCTCCCACCCTGGGGTCCCCCCAGAGGGACCTGGAGCTGGAAGGTGCCAAAGCAATGGGCACAGAGATGATCTGGGCCGTGCTGGTGCCCTTCAAGGAGTCCTGAACTCCTCCCACAGGCTGGAGGTGACCCTTGGTGGGTCCCATCAAGGAGAACCCTCTCCCCGTGGGCACCTGCAGCCCCCGGGGCACTGGCTGGGCTCAGCCTGGGGAGGGACCAGGGGATTTTTGCTTTTCCCCTCCCCAGGTGGGTGAGAACCCCCCAGCAGCCCCAGCACAGCCTCCGGGGGAGGTGGCAGCAGCTCCTTGGGCATTTCCTTCTGAGGCCAGTGCAGAGCCGGGGGTGGCAGGGCCAGGGGTGGCCCAGCCCAGGAGCTGCTCCAAGAGGCCAAACCCTGGCACAGCCGCAGCTCCTGGGCGCTCTGGGGGTGCCCCTGAGCAGCTCACACCTTCCTTGGGTGGGTTTGGGGGTGTTGGGCACCCGGAGCCCCCCAGGCTGTGCCCCCTGTGGCTCAGCTGCTGTTTCTAGTAAGAAAAACCAAGTGCAACTGTGATTATTTTTGTTCACAACCCCTTCCTCCCTTCCTCCCCCACTTTATTCTCCTGCAGTCCAGTTAAAATTTGGATTTCTCCGAGCCCGGGCTCTGTGCGTGTTTCGGTGGGCGCTGCCGTTTCCAGGGCACCGGCAGGGCCGGGGCTGCGGGCGGTCTCAGCTGGTGGGTGGGGTGAGCTCCCTCCTCGCCCGGGCCCCTTTTCCTTTCCGGGGGGTTTCGGTGTCCCCCGGTGCCCCGCGGTGTCCCCGCACCCTCCCGGCCCCGGTCTCGAACCCGCGGCGCTGCCGGACCGGGGAAGGCACGCCTCTTTCCCCGCCCACTCGCTATCTCTCGTTTTCCATTGGTCGCTGTTAAGGCCAGTCATTGCTGCCACGCCCTTTTGCTTGCACCGCCCCCTCTTAGTGCCCCGCCCCCGCGCGCACTGATTGGTCAGCTGTGATGTCATTGCGGCCGCTTCTCTGCGTTCATTGGCCGGAGCTGCTGTCCGTCACGCAGCTGAGGCGGTGGAGGCGGTGGCGGCCATTTTGGAGCAGGGCGCGGGGCCGGACGCAGCGGAGGGAGCGCGGAGCTCCCCCCTCGCCGCCATGGCAGCCCCGCTCGGCACCGGCGCCCTCACGGAGGAGACCGGGCAGGAGAAACAGGTGGGGGAACCCCGGGGGCCTGAGGGGGTGTCGGGCGGGCTCCCACTGGCTCGGCCGCACGTCCCTCTTTCCAGTCCTGAGCGGGGATTGGTTGGGTTTGTTGTCCGTCTGGCGAAAACCGAGCTCTGATTGGCTACGGGGCAGGGGGTGGGCGGGACTTCCGGATTAGGATGGATGGCGGCGTGGGGGGTGCGTGGTGGGATGGGACTGGGGTCACTGGGGTGGGACTGGGGGCACTGGGGTGGGATGGGATGGGGGTCACTGGGATTGGGGTCGATGGGACTGGGGTCACTGGGACTGGGGTCACCGGGAGCTGAGGGGAGCAGCCCGAGATCCTGCAGTGGTTTCAGGGGACAGAGCTTTGGCTGCTGCTCTCAGACCCCAAAATCCTCCCCAGGGTCCCCAAAATCCTGCCTGGAATTCCTGAAATCCTCCCCAGGATGAGCCCGAGATTCTGCAGTGGTTTCAGGGGACAGAGCTTTGGCTGCTGCTCTCAGACCCCAAAATCCTCCCCAGGATCCCCAAATCCTACCTGAGATCCCCCAAAGTCCTTCCCAGCACACACAAATCCAGGAATTCCTCTGCCTGGAATTCCTGAAATCCTCCCCAGGATGCCCAAATCCTACCTGAGATCCCCCAAAGTCCTTCCCAGCACAGACAAATCCAGGAATTCCCCAAAATCCAGCCCAAAATTCAGGAATTCCTCCCCAAAATCTAGGAATTCCTTCCTAAAATCCAGCCCAAAATCCAGGAATTCCTCCCCAAAATCCAGGAATTCCTCCCCAAAATCCAGGAATTCCTTCCCAAAATCCAGCCTAAAATTCAGCCTAAAATCCAAGAATTAAGTGCAAATTAATATTGTAATAAATAATGTAAATTGTACTTAATAAGCTTTAATAAATAAATGTAAATTAATAATATAATAATGTCAATGTTCTTTAGTAAACTTTATTTAATAATTGTAAATTAATGCCACAATAAATGATGTCAATTTTATTTAATAAATAAATTTTTATTTTAAAAGTAAATGTAAATTATTGACATAATAAGCAATGCAAATTTTATTTACTAAATTTTAATTTAATAAGTGAATGTAAATTAATGACATAATAAACAATATAATTTTAATAAATACGTTTTAATTTAATAAATAAATTTTTATTTTAAAAGTAAATGTAAATTATTGACATAATAAGCAATGCAAATTTTATTTACTAAATTTTAATTTAATAAGTGAATGTAAATGAATGACATAATAAACAATATAATTTTAATAAATACGTTTTAATTTAATAAATAAATGCAAATGTAAGTTAATGCCGCAATGAACAATGTAAATTTCATTAATAAGTAAATCTGTGGTTTTTTCTCTTTCAGGACTCCCAGGAGAAGGACAAGGCCATTTCCCCCGAGAGGGCAGAGGAGGCCAAGCTCAAGGCCAAATACCCCAACCTGGGCCAGAAGCCTGGGGGCTCAGATTTCCTCATGAAGAGGCTGCAGAAAGGGGTGAGGGACAGAGGGACCCCCAGCCCCAGGAGATCCTGCTCTGGCCTGAAAAGGGGAAAATGGGAAAAATAACTGGAGACATGGGGGAAATTGGGAAGGAATGGGAAACCTGGGGAAAAAATGGGGGGGGGGAAGGAAAAAACCTGGCACTGTGATCCCAAATGTGATCCCAAACCTGGAAAGTGTGATCCCAAACGTCACAGGTGTGATCCCAAATCTGATCCCAGCCCTGGCAGCTGATCCCAGCTCAGTTGATCCCAGCTGATCCCAGCTCTCTCAGCTGATCCCAGCCCTGGCAGCTGATCCCAGCTCAGTTGATCCCAGCTCTCCCAGCTGATCCCAGCTCTCTCAGTTGATCCCAGCCCTGGCAGTTGATCCCAGCTCAGCTGATCCCAGCTCCCAGCTGATCCCAGCTCAGTTGATCCCAGCTCAGTTGATCCCAGCTCCCAGCTGATCCCAGTTCTCAGGTTGATCCCAGCTCTCAGGTTGATCCCAGCTCAGCTGATCCCAGCTCTCTGCGGTGTCCCCGTGGTGCCCGGGCCCAGGGGCAGGGCTGGGCGCTGCCCTGCCCAGGTGCCAGCCCAGCTGGGTGTGTCCCCGTGCCCCGAGTCAGGCCCAGCCCTGCCCGAGTCACTGCCTGCTGGCCAAAGGCCTCTTGGGCCTGGCCCAGCTCCTGCTGGGAGTTCCCCTTGTGCCATCTTCTCACGGCCTGCCTCGGGGCAGCCCAGCACTCCCTGAAGGGTCCTCGTGGCTCTGCTGTCCCCTGCTCCTGCAGAGCCAGCCCCAAATCCTGCACAGCCAGCCCCAAATCCTGCAGAGCCAACCCCAAATCCTGATCCTGCACAGCCAACCCCAAATCCTGCACAGCCAATCCCAGCCCCAAATCCTGCACAGCCAACCCCAGCCCCAAATCCTGCACAGCCAACCCCAAATCCTGCACAGCCAGTCCCAAATCCTGCACAGCCAACCCCAAATCCTGCACAGCCAATCCCAACCCCAAATCCTGCACAGCCAATCCCAATCCAAATTTAGCCTTTTCTAAAGCATCCTCATGGCTCTGCTGTTCCTGTACTCCTGCACAGTCAATCCCAGCCCCAAATCCTGCACACTCAACCCCAATCCCAATTTGGCCTCCCCAAAGGCTGTGTTCCTGTTCCCCTGCTCCTGCACACCCAATCCCAGTCCTTGTTCCTGCACTCCCAATCCCAATTTGGCCTCCCCAAAGGCTCCTGTTTCCCTGCACACCCACTAACCCAAACATTTCTCCTTTTTCCAGCAAAAATACTTTGATTCTGGTGACTACAACATGGCCAAGGCCAAGATGAAGAACAAGCAGCTGCCGAGTGCGGGGCCTGACAAGAACCTGGTGACAGGAGACCACATCCCCACGCCCCAGGACCTGCCCCAGAGGAAATCCTCGCTGGTCACCAGCAAGCTGGCAGGGTAGCTGCACCCCCAGCTGGGGGCTGCCCTCTTCTTGTCTCTTTTTTTTGGCTAAATGGATTGAGTTCACTGTACCATAGGGGAGGGAGCACCAGAATCCACGGAGCTGTTTGAGTCTTGCCAGCAAACACAGCCCGGGGCTGATGGGGGGCAGGGCTGGCTTGGCCCTTCCTCACAGAGAGGCTTTGCCTTAATTTTGCTGCTGTTTGGCACCATCCTGGCTCACAGGGGGAGCTCTGCCCCTTCCTGGCTGGGAGAGCCCCAGAGGAGCCATCCTGGCACCATCCTGGCACCATCCTGGCTCACAGGGGGAGCTCTGCCCCTTCCTGGCTGGGAGAGCCCCAGAGGGGCACAGGGGGCTTGGGGCAGGCACCTGGAGGAGAGCAGAGGGCAGGGCTGGGGTGTGGGAAGGGATTTCAGGGGTTGGGGTCACAGAGGCTGAGGCAGCTGGGCAGGAGAGTGAGCCCAGATCTGGAAATTGTGATCTCAGACCTGGAAGTTGTGATCCCAAATCTCACAGGTGTGATCCCAGGTCTGCAAAGAGTCATCCCAGATCTGGAAAGTGGGATCCCAGATCTGGCAGGTGTGATCCCAGGTATGGAAAGAGTGATCCCAGATTTGGAAAGTGTGGTTCCTGATCTCACACGTGTGATCCCAGATCTGGAAATTGTGATCCCAGATTTGGAAATTGTGACCCCAGCTCTCACAGGTGTGACCCCAGCTCTGCAGGCATGGTCAGGTGTGTGCTTTAGAGCTTCAAAGTGAAGAAATTGGCCAAGATGATAAAAATTCCAGGGGCTGAGCTGTTTCTGGGCTGAGCTGGCTGGGATGTGTCCCTGGCTCAGCTCCCAGGGGACAGCATGTCCAGAGGGGTGGGACAGGGCTGGGCAGTGTCTGAAACACCTTTGGGTGCTTTGTGGGTAGAGCCCCACCTCAGCTGGAGGAGCTGGGCTGAGCTTGGCCAGAGGGACAGAACCAGAGGGGTTTGACTGAATTTGGCCAGAGGGACAAAACCAGAAGGATTTGGCTGAGCTTGATCAGAGGGATAAAACCAGAGGGGCCTGACTGAATTTGACCAGAGGGACAAAATGAGAAGGGCTTAATTGAGCTTGGCCAGAGGGAAAAAACCAGAGGGGTTTGGCTGGATTTGGCCAGAGGGTCTTGTCTGAATTTGGTTAGAGGGATAAAACCAAGAGGGACAAAACCAGAGGGGCCTGACTGAGCTTGGCCAGAGGGATGCAGCCAGAAGGGCTTGGCTGAATTTGGCCAGAGGGGTTTGGCTGAATTTGGCCAGAGGGACAAAAACAGAGGGATAAAACCAGAAGGGCTTGGCTGAATTTGGCCAGAGGGGTTTGGCTGAATTTGGCCAGGGTGGCTCAGCTGCCCCAAGGCCTTGGGGCAGTTTCTCTGTCCCTGGTCCCTTGTGGCCAGGGGGGCACAGCTGGAGCTGAGTGCAGCAGCAGCAGCAGCAGGAGGAGCTCAGGACTCTGCAGAGCCCTGCCCAGGCAGCCCAGGGAGGGATTTGTGCTGCTGGCACTGGTTGTGGAGGGAGGGAGAGAGGCAGGACTGGCAGGAACCACCCAGAAAGGGAGAAAAAGCACCAGAAACAAGGTGGAGTTTGAAGGGTGTTGAGGCAAAGCTGTGCTTTGAAAGTGTTGGACATCTCAAGCTTGGATTTCTTTCTTTTTCTCCTATTTTTTCCCCTTTTTGTTTTTGTTTTGTCTCAAACCTGGGGAAAAAAATAACAAAACCCCAAATTAACACCAACATCACAACAAATCCCCAAACCTTAGAACCTGCAGAGCCAGGGCTGGGGGTGGCACTGTCCCCTCCTGGCTGCCACTTTTCCATGCAGGGACAAACGTGGGCACAGCTGTGCCCCAAAACCTGCCCCAGTTCAGCCCCAAGAACCAGAGGAAGGGAGGCAGGAGTGAGGATGCCCAGGCTGGGTTTTCCTCCTGTGTGTTCCTGCTCACCTGGGCGTTCCCTGGGAACCTTTGTGTGTCACTTGTGTCACCTGTGTCACTTCCCTGGCTTGCCAGGAGTGTTTACCCAGGGTGTGCTGGAATGTGTGTCTGCCTTCAGGTGCTTCCTGCATGAAACAGCCCTGGGCTGCTCCTGGCCACTCTGGGGAGGGGGCAAGGAGTGTGGAGGCTTTGGGAGCTGTCCTTGTCCCCACAGGGTCCTGCTGTGGCCCCCAGCCCCTGTGTGACCTGGCTGGGGCAGTGGCTGCACACCCTCCTTGGATGTCCTGCTGTCTGTCCCAGCCATCTTGTAAATAGATAACAAATATATATATATAAAATAAATATATATATAATTTTTTTACATGTTCACCTCTTCTGGACTGCTGTGCTTGCTTTTTATTAAACCTCCCCCCAAAAAAAGGGGAAATAAAACCCAAAAGAGGAAATAAAGGGAAAAATGCAAAGGGGCATTGCTGCTCTGGGGCTGTCCCTGTGCTGGGGCGGGGGGCAGAGGGAGGGGACACCCCCTAAATGTGTGGGGACACCCCCAAACGTGTGGGCACACCCCCAGCCTTGTGTGTCCCTGCTTTTCCAGGTGCAGGAGGGAGCAGGGACTGCCCAGCCCAGGATGAGCCCCAGCAGGAGCAGCTCTGGGTTTGGCACCGTGGCAGGGCCTTCTCCACCCCACCCCAGAGCTGGGTGGGCACTGAGAGGGCAGGGGGTGATGCTGGCACCCCCTGCCCACCTCTCGTGCTGCTGGGTGGGTTGGGGTCTCCCATTTTTGGGGTCTCCCACTTTTGGGTCTCCCATTTTTGGGGTCTCCCATTGTGCCACCTTGGCTGGGAGGGGTTTTACCAACACAAATCTTTGCTCCAGCTGCAAAAACACTTCCACATTGTCCCAGCGTGGCCACGTCTGTCCCCAGTGCCACCCTGAGGCTGTCTCCAGGCTCCCTTTGCTCCTGGCCATGTCCAGCCCCTTCCTCTGTCCCCACCTGTGGCATTCTCAGCCCCGACCTTTCCCCCGCAGCTCTCCCTGGCCTGGGACTCTCTGGATTCCCCAGAACTGGGAATTCCCAAGCCCTGGAGGCCACCCAGGTCCCCAGGCACCCTCGGGGGACAGGCAGGGACACGTTGTTCCAGCTTGTTTGTTCTAAAGCTTGGCAGCACCTCCCAAAAATGTGCTGGGTGCTGCCAGAGCTCCCTGTGCTCGCTCCTGCTGCCAAGAATTCTCTTCCAGACAAGGACACATTCCTTGGGGCCACGGGAAGGATTTTGGGAGGGACGAATTTCATCCTGCTGGACCCCCCCAGGCAGCCCTGCTTGGGGGGTGGCAGGGGACAGGGGCTGGGGACCCCAGGGGGATGAAAACCACCCTGGGTTTGCTGGTTTTGAGGGCTCCGGGGTGTGGGGAGGGGGCTGTGCCCACCACAGCCTGCTCCAGACAGCACGGGGGGCTGGCATTCGTCAGTTTGTCCCCAAAAATGTGGGGACAGGGAGGTGGCAGCTCCAAACAGCACAGAGGGCTGGAATTGGACAGTTTGTCCCCAAAAATGTGAGGACAAGGAGGTGGCAGCACTCAGTGCTCCAAACAGCACAGTGAGATTGGATTGGTCACAGTTTGTCCCCAAAAAATGGGACAGGGGAGGTGGCAGCTCCAAACAGAGCACAGTGAGCTTGGATTTGTCCCAGTTTGTCCCCAAAAATGTGGGGACAGGGATCTGGCAGCTCCAAACAGAGCAAAATGATGCTCGGGATGTTTGGATTTGTCCCAGTTTGTCCCCAGAACTGCTGCCCAGGGAGGTGGCAGCTCCCAGTGCCCCAAACAGAGCACAGTGATGGTGACAGAGGCCTGGATTCCTCACAGTTTGTCCCCAAAAATGTTGGCCAGGGATCTGGCAGCTCCAAACAACAAAGTGATGCTCAGGATGCTTGCATTGGTCACAATTTGTCCCCAAAATGCTGCCCAGAGACGTGGCAGCTCCCAGTGCCCCAAACACAGCACAGAGGCCTGGGATTGGTCACGATTTGTCCCCAAAAATGTGGGGACAGGGAGGGGGCAGCTCCCAGGGCTCCCTGGGCAGGAGGAGCTGTGCTCCCCAGCACTTGGCTTTCCATCCCCAAGGCACGGGGATCTCCTGTCCCCAAACCCCACTGGGATGCAGAATATGTTTCTTCTTCTATATAAAAATATAGATTTATTTATTCTTGCATATAAAAATATAGAATATATATTAGTTCTATATAAAATATGGAATACATATTTCCTCTTCAATAGAAAAATACAGAATCTATATTCCTTCTTCTATATACAAATATAGAATATCTATTTATTCTATATAAAAATATGGAATATATATTCTTCTATATAAAATATAGAGTATCTATTTATTCTTCTATATAAAAATATAGAAGATATATTTATTCTTGCATATAAAAATATAGAATATATATTAGTTCTATATAAAATATGGAATACATATTTCCTCTTCAATAGAAAAATACAGAATCTATATTCCTTCTTCTATATACAAATATAGAATATCTATTTATTCTATATAAAAATATGGAATATATATTCTTCTATATAAAATATACGAAAGTGAACTTTGCTCGGTGCGGACGAGGAAAAGGCGCTGCTGGTGTGTGCGGAGCAGATAATGTGGTTACAGATTAGCCCGGATCCTCCCGGGCTGGCCGCGGGCGATCCCGGGCGGCTCCGCGGGGCCGGCTCCGCGCCCCGGCCCAGGGCAGGGGGCTTCCACTGGGGGGATTCCTCCGGGTGATGTGCTCGTACAGCCGTGCAGTGGTTTGGGTTCAAATAGATTTTACAACTCATCCAGTCCCACGAGCAAGGGCATTTTCCACCTTCCCAGGGTGCTCCAAACTGTCCAGCCACAGCTTCCCTGGGAAATCTGGTTTTTAGGTATTGAATCCAAAGACTGGGGAGCTCAGCAATTTCAGATCCTCACCCCCTCACAGTTTTGGTGCAAGGGGGTTTTTGGTGGGGGGAATTCTCCTGGGCAATGCACAGAACCATGGTCTGGGTTGAACCAGACTTTAAAACTCATCCAAAACAGGCAGGGACACCTCCCACCATCCCAGGTTGCTGCCTCTGGGCACTCCCAGGGATCCAGGGCAGCCACAGCTTCCCTGGGAAATCTATTTTAATGTGTTTAATCCCAAAGATTGGGGAGCTCAGGAATTTCAGCTCCTTACTCCCCCAAGTTTAGGTGCAAGGGGAAATGTGCTCATACAGCCATGGGATGGTTTGGGTTGAAATAGATTTTAAAACTCATCCAGTCCCACAAGGAAGGACATTTTCCACCTTCCCAGGGTGCTCCAACCTGTCCAGCCTGGCCTTGGACACTCCCAGGGGCAGCCCCAGCTGCTCTGGGAAATCTGGTTTTTATGTATTGAATTCAAAGATTGGTGAGCTCAGGAGTTTCAGATCCTCACCCCCTCCCAGTTTAGGTGCAAGGGGGTTTTTGGTGGGGGGAATTCTCCTGAGCAAAGTTCTCATAGAGCCATGGAATGGTTTGGGTTGAAACAGACCCAAAAACTCATCCAGTGCCACGAGCAAGGACACTTTCCACCATCTCAGGGTGCTCCAAGCCCTATCCAGCACTTCCAGGGATCTGGGGGCAGCCAGAGCTGCTCTGGGAAATCTGGTTTAATTTATTTAATCCTGAGCATCCAAAGATTAGTGAGGTTAGGAGTTAGATCCTCACCCCCACCAAGTTTAGGTGCAAGGGGATTTTTGGGCAATGTGTTCACATAACTGTGGAATGGTTTGGGTTGAAATAGACTTTAAAACTCCTCTAAAATGTGCAGGGACACCTCCCACCCTCCCAGGGTGCTCCAAGTCCTGTCCAGCACTGCCAGGGATCCGGGGGCAGCCAGAGCTTCCATGGGAAATCTGGTTTAATGTGTTTAATCTCAAGCATCCATAGTTAGCTCGGGAGTTTCAGCTCCCCACCCCCCAGTTCAGGTGCAAGGGGATTTTTGGGCAGTGCTCTCACATAACCATGGAATGGTTTGGGTTGAAACAGACCCAAAAACTCACCCAGTGCCAGGGCAGGGGCACCTCCCACCATCCCAGCCCTGTCCAGCCCGGCCCTGGGCACTGCAGAGATCCCAGATTTCTCTGGGAAATCCATTTTCAGGCATTTCCCCCCTTCTGCAGGCCCTGGGGCAGCTGTGACCCCAGAGCCTGGCCTGGGGGTGAGCTGGAAGTGGGAAGTGACCACTTGGAGCTGGTTTGTGTCACTCACTGTTGGGGTTTTAGGATGCAGGTTCCTGCACCAGTTTTGGGGTGTCCGGGTGCAGGTCCCTGCAGCAGTTTTGGGGTTCCTCTGGCTGGTTTTGGGTTCCTGTAGCTGTTTTGGAGTGCCTAGGGGGTGTTAGGGTGTAGGTTCCTGTAGCAGTTTTAGGATGTCGGGGTGCAGATTTCTGTAGGAGTTTTGGGGTCCCTGTTGAGTGTTAGAGTGCAGGTTCCTGCAGCAGTTTTGGGGTCCCTGCAGCAGTTTTGGGGTTCCTCTAGCTGGTTTTGGGTTCCTGTAGCTGTTTTGGGGTTCCTGTAGCAGTTTTAGGGCCCCTGTAGCAGTTTTGGGGTTCCTGGCAGTGTCAGGGTGCTGTCTGGTGAAGCACCCCCCTCCTTGCAGGAGGATGTGCCGTTTCCTCAGCTCGTCCCTTTTTTTTTGGCTCCTTCCTTTTTTGTTTATGGAACACAAAGAGCTTCGGTTTCATCCTGAGCTGTGCTGCTGGGAAAGGCAGAGGCAGTGGGGTCAGTTCCTGTCCCAATTCCCAGTGGGGTCAGTTCCTGGCCCCAGTTCCCAGTGGGGTCAGTTCCTGGCCCCAGTTCCCAGTGGGATCAATGGGATCAGTTCCTGTTCCCAGCTCCCACTGGGATCAGTTCCTGACCCCAATTCCCAGCAGGATCACTGGGATCAGTGCCTGTTCCCAGTTCCCACTGGGATCAGTTCCCGGCCCCAGTTCCCAGTGGGGTCACTGGGCTCAGTTCCTGGCCCCAATTCCCAGTGGGATCGCTGGGCCCAGTTCCTGGCCCCAATTCCCACTGGGGTCACTGGGATCAGTTCCCGGCCCCAGTTCCCACTGGGATCACTGGGATTAGTGGGATCACTGGGATCAGTTCCTGTTCCCAATTCCCAGTGGGATCACTGGGATTAGTGGGGTCACTGGGATCAGTTCCTGGCCCCAATTCCCAGTGGGATCACTGGGATTAGTGGGATCGCTGGGATCAGTTCCTGGCCCCAGCTCCCACTGGGATCGCTGGGCTCAGTTCCTGGCCCCAGTTCCCACTGGGGTCACTGGGATTAGTGGGATCACTGGGATCAGTTCCCAGCCCCAATTCCCAGTGGGATCGCTGGGATCAGTTCCCGGCCCCAATTCCCACTGGGATCACTGGGCTCAGTTCCTGGCCCAATTCCCACTGGGATCACTGGGCTCAGTTCCTGGCCCCAATTCCCAGTGGGATCACTGGGCTCAGTTCCTGGCCCAATTCCCACTGGGGTCACTGGGATCAGTTCCCGGCCCCAGCTCCCCCTGGGGTCACTGGGCTCAGTTCCCGGCCCCAGCTCCCCCTGGGATCACTGGGCTCAGTTCCTGTTCCCAATTCCCAGTGGGATCACTGGGCTCAGTTCCCGGCCCCAATTCCCCCTGGGGTCACTGGGCTCAGTTCCCGGCCCCAGTCCCGGACGTGCCTGCGGATGATGCTCCGGGAGGAATGTCGGGGCTGACGTGGGCCCGGGTGGTTTCCCAGGGCAGCAGGAACTGCCGGGGGCGCTTCCTGCAGCTCTGAGCAGCAGCAGCAGCGACCCTTTCGCTTTCGGAAACCTGCGCTCGCTTCTGCTTCTCGGCAGCTCGAGCTGGGGGTTCTGCTCTGCCAGGCACAGTTACAATGAATGAAATAATTTAAATTTAATTTTAAATTAGATTTAAAAATAATTTAAAGTTTAATTTTAAATTATTTTACATTATTTAAAATAAATAAAAATTTAAAAATTATTTTATTATTGAATTTAAATTATATTGTTAAATTATTTTTCTTTTATTTTAATTTAAATTAGTTTAAATTATCTTAAAGTAATATAAATTATTTCAAAGTAAATAATCTTATTTTATTTTAATTATTTTATTAATTTAAGTTATTTTAATTTTATTTTAATTTAAATTATTTTAACATAATTCAAGTTATTTTAAATTTATATTATTTTATTATTTAATTTAAATTATTTTATCAATTTAAATTATTTTTATTTTAATTTAAATTATTAAAAAATTATTTATTTAAACTATTTTATTTATTTAAACTATTTTATTTATTTTTATTATTCTATTTATTTTTATTATTTTACTATTTAAATTATTTTTAAAAAATTATTTACATTAAAATTAATTTTAAACTACTAAAATTTAAAACTGGCGATACATCTGCCTGCTTTGGGGCACTGCCTTTGCTCTCTGCCCTCCCCAGGCTGTGCTTCTGATGTGGAAACCTTGACACAGGGCAGTGTGACGTGCTCAGACACCACAGCTGAGACAGGAAAAAGGAACTAAAATGTGCCAGGGGTTGTTTTTTTTGTCTGGCCCAGATGAGGCAGGGCAGCAGAGCTCACTCTCCATCCCAAATTCCAGTTTTGGGGGTCCCACCCCTCCCTGCCCCTCCTGGGCTGTTTGGTGGCATGTCCCCAAGACAGGAAAAATGAATTAAAATGTGCCAGGGGTTGCGTTTTGTCTGGCCCAGATGAGGCAGGGCAGCAGAACTCAAATCTCCATCCCAAACTCCCTTTTTTGGGGGGGTCCTACCCTCCCTGCCACTCCTGGGGGTGTTTGCTGCTGTGTCCTTGAGACAGGAAAAAGGAATTAAAATGTGCCAGGGACTGTCTTTAGTCTGGCCCAGATGAGGCAGGGCAGCAGAAGGGCAGCAGAGCTCACTCTCCATCCCAAACTCCATTTTGGGGGAGGGTCTCCATCCCAAACTCCATTTTTGGGGAGGGTCTCCATCCCAAACTCCATTTTTGGGGAGGGTCTCCATCCCAAACTCCATTTTTGGGGAGAGTCCCACCCTCCCTGCCCCTGCTGGGGGTGTTCCCTGCCCCTAAACCCCCGGAATTTTGCAGGAATGCTGCGCAAGCTGCAGATCCAGCAGGAAGAAGACCTGCAGGCCGTGGTGGAGGTGGCTGCCCACGTGTTCAGCGATGGGGTGACCAACTGGGGCCGGGTGGTGACGCTGGTGGCCTTCGGGGCCTTCGTGGCCAAGCACCTGAAGAGCATCAAGCAGGAGCAGAGCATCGGGCCCCTGGCTGGGATCATCACGGACGCCCTGGTCTCGACCAAGAGGGAGTGGCTGGAGAGCCAGGGGGGCTGGGTGAGTCACAATTCCTGAGGATTCCTGGGCCTTTCCCGGCATTTCAGCCTTTTCCTGCTGCTGGGGTGTGTGGCAGGGCTGGCTCGCTGTCCCCAGGGGGGGTTAGGAGCTACCCAGCATCAGCTGCCTTGAGTGGTTTGGGATAAAAATCACTTTTTGGAGTGTTCCTGCCCAGCCTGGGGCTGCATTGCCAAAGGCAGGGCAGCCCTGGGGGGGCTGAGCTGGCCCGTGGCTGAAATGGGGCTGGGGGTGTTTGAGGATGAAGTGGGGCTGGGGATATTTTAGGATAAAATGGGTCAAGAGGAGCACTGAGGATGATCAGGATGAAATGGGGCTGGGGGATATTTGAGGCTGAAATGGGGCTGGGGCTGTTTGAGGCTGAAATGGGGCTGGGGGATGTTGTAGGATGAAATGGGGCTGGGGGATATTTTAGGATAAAATGGGTCAAGAGGAGCACTGAGGATGATCAGGATGAAATGGGTCTGGGGGATATTTGAGGCTGAAATGGGGCTGGGAATGTGCAGGATGAAATGGGGCTGGGGGATGTTTTAGGATGAAATGGGTCTAGGGGAGCACAGGGGATGAGCAGGATGAAATGGGGTTGGGGGATATTTTAGGCTGAAATGGGGCTGGGGGATGTTTTAGGATGAAATGGGGCTGGGGGAGCACAGGGAGAACACTGGGGGGTGTTTTAGGCTTAAATAGGCTGGGGATGAGCAGGATTGAATGGGGCTGAGGGAACACTGGGGGCTGTTTGAGGCTGAAATGGGGCTGGGGATATTTTAGGATAAAATGGGTCTAGGGGAGCACGGGGGATGAGCAGGGTGAAATGGGGCTGGGGCTGTTTGAGGCTGCAGTGGGTCTGGGGGCTGTGCCAGGCAGGCTCTCCCCCGCTCTGACCAGCCCTGCTGTCTCTCCCAGGAGGGCTTTGTGGACTTTTTCCGCGTGGAGGACCTGGAGGGCAGCATCCGGAACGTCCTGATGGCCTTCGCGGGGGTGGCCGGCCTGGGGGCCAGCCTGGCCTACATGATCCGGTGAGCCTGGGCTGCCAGGGACACTTCTTGGGAGGACTGGCTCCCTGGGGCTGCCCAGGGCCAGATTTTGGAAGGACTGGCTCCCTGGGGCTGCCCAGGGCCAGATTTTTGGAGGACTGGGTCCCTGGGGCTGCCCAGGGCCACATTTTGGCTGCAGACCCCAAAGAGCTGGACTCAAATCACCCAGGAGGACACGGAGCCATCCCTGGAGCAGCTCCTGAGGAAGAGGAGGGTGTGATCCCAGCTGGTGGCTGCTGATGGATGCAGGATTCCTGGCTTTTGGAAGGGTTTTTTCCTCTCTTCCCCTCGCCTGGAGGAGCTCAAGTGGATTTTGCTTCACGTGGATCCCCGAGGAACCAACTCCAGCAGCTCTCCCCCAGGGCTGGGCGAGGCAGCTGAGCCCGGAGCAGATGTTGTCAGGGTTGTGGTTGTGGGTTTTTGGGTGTTGGTTTTTTTTTTTTATTTTTTCCTGGAAATGGCACCTTCTGCTGCTGCTGCTCTGCCTGAACTCGCAGCTCTGTTGCTCTGGGGCAGAAGCACTGCACGCTGGGGATGCTGTGCCAGCCTGCACCTGCAGCCAGAGCCCTGCCAGCCCCTTTCCTCCCCATGGCATGGGGGCCTGGGGGGGCTGGGGGTCACCCCCAGCTCTGTCCCTGCCCCAAACAGCCTTGGCTGCACACAGACAGTTCAGAAATAACAAATGCGTTTTGTAATTATGTAAAAAGAACAACCCCAGTGGGCTGGGGAGGGTGTAGAGACGCGTGGAGGACCTGGAGGGCAGCATCCGGAACGTCCTGATGGCCTTCGCGGGGGTGGCCGGCCTGGGGGCCAGCCTGGCCTACATGATCCGGTGAGCCTGGGCTGCCAGGGACACTTCTTGGGAGGACTGGCTCCCTGGGGCTGCCCAGGGCCAGATTTTGGAAGGACTGGCTCCCTGGGGCTGCCCACCGCCAGATTTTTGGAGGACTGGGTGCCTGGGGCTGCCCAGGGCCACATTTTGGCTGCAGACCCCAAAGAGCTGGACTCGAATCACCCAGGAGGACACGGAGCCATCCCTGGAGCAGCTCCTGAAGAGGAAGGTGTGATCCCAGCTGGTGGCTGCTGATGGATGCAGGATTCCTGGCTTTTGGAAGGGTTTTTTCCTCTCTTCCCCTCGCCTGGAGGAGCTCAAGTGGATTTTGCTTCACGTGGATCCCCGAGGAACCAACTCCAGCAGCTCCCCCAGGGCTGGGCGAGGCAGCTGAGCCCGGAGCAGATGTTGTCAGGGTTGTGGTTGTGGGTTTTTGGGTGTTGGTTTTTTTTTTTTATTTTTTCCTGGAAATGGCACCTTCTGCTGCTGCTGCTCTGCCTGAACTCGCAGCTCTGTTGCTCTGGGGCAGAAGCACTGCACGCTGGGGATGCTGTGCCAGCCTGCACCTGCAGCCAGAGCCCTGCCAGCCCCTTTCCTCCCCATGGCATGGGGGCCTGGGGGGGCTGGGGGTCACCCCCAGCTCTGTCCCTGCCCCAAACAGCCTTGGCTGCACACAGACAGTTCAGAAATAACAAATGCATTTTGTAATTATGTAAAAAGAACAACCCCAGTGGGCTGGGGAGGGTGTAGAGAACCTGTAAATGTCTGTAAATCTGTAGAATATATACATTTTTACAGAGCTGACGATACAAAAAGGAGGAATTTGCTCTGGATGTGGTTTCATTCCTGATGGGAAGCAGCATTTTTGTGGCTCCGTTCCTTCCCCTGGAGCAGCACAGCCAGGGAGGGTGACCAGCAGCAGTGACCACGGCTGGCTGGCAACAGCTGATGTTTCTGTTTGGTTTTAAATCTCTTTTTTTGTCCCTCGTCGTGGGGGTGGGGGAGCTGGGGAAGTTCATTCTGGCCACTTCCTTCTCTCCCCTTCCTCCTCCTCCTCCTCCGAGCCGTGAGCCGGACGGAGCTGACGGCTGAATGTAAAACTTCTACATTCAAAAACGTCAAATTTCTGCTTCTGGGGCTGCTCCCGCAGCTCCCTCGGGGTGGCTTTGATGCCCAGGGGGCTCCTTGCCCACGCCTGGCCCTGGGGGCTGCCCTGCTGGGCTCTGTCCTTGTCCCCAGGATGTCCCCTGGAGCCTGGGCCAGCCCCAGCCCAGCCGTGGTGCTACAGCCAGGCCCTGCTTGTGTGCAAAACAAGCTGTAGTTTGGTCAATAAATGTTTTTTTTTTTCTCATTCCTCTGCTGCCCAACTCCTTTCCCCCAGCCAGGGGCTCTCGTGCTGCCCCGGGATTGCTGGAAAAGCCTCTGGAGAAGGGCTGGTGTCACCTCTGGTGTCACCTCTGGTGTCACCTGCTGAGGGTGGGGGGAGCCCCCGAGGCTCCTCCTGCACAATTCGGGCTGTGCCACCCCCCAGGGGACCTGCAGCCTTGGGGACATTTTGGGACATTGCCATCCTCACTCCCATCCCTCTGGGGTTTTTTGGGCACAGAATTCCAGGTTAAATTGGGTTGGGAGGGACTTTGAGGCTCATTTTTTTTCCATCTCCTGGCCATGGAGGTCTTCCAGGTTCCTCCAGGTCTCATCCAAACAAATTCCAGGGATGGGGAATTCAGGAATTCTCTGGAAAATTCTGTGCCAGGGCCTCACCCAGCACTGCTGCAGTTTTCCCCCTTTTTAAATCTGTTTTTTCTCCCTCTTTAGGGGGACCCTGAACCCCGTCCAGGTCTCATCCAAACAAATTCCAGGGATGGGGAATTCAGGAATTCTCTGGAAAATCCTGTGCCAGGGCCTCACCCAGCACTGCTGCAGTTTTCCCCCTTTTTAAATCTGTTTTTTCTCCCTCTTTTGGGGGGGGTCTCTGAACCCCAGACCTCCCCTGCACCCCCAAATTCCCATCCCTGCAGCTTTGGGGTGAATGGCAGAGGCAAAATCCTGCCCCCAAATCCTCTGGAAATGCAAAGTCCTGCCCCAAAATAATCTGGAGAGGCAAAATCCTACCCCAAAATAATCTCAAGAGGCAAAATCCTGCCCTAAAATGCTCTGGAAATGCAAAATCCTACCCCAAAATAATCTCAAGAGGCAAAATCCTACCCCAAAATAATCTCAAGAGGCAAAATCCTGCCCTAAAATGCTCCAGAAATGCAAAGTCCTGCCCCAGATTCCTCTGCGAAGACAAAATCCTGTGCCAAAATCCTCTGAAAAGGAAAAATCCTGCCCCAAAATCCTCTGAAAATGCAAAATCCTACCCCAAAATAATCTAAAAATGCAGAATCCTGCCCCAGAATCCTCTGGAGAGGCAAAATTTCCCCCAAAATCCACACCTGGGCCGCCAAGGCCGAGGCCCTGGTCCCAAACCCAGCCCAGAGTGACTCAGCCCAGAGTGCAAACGCTGCTGGCTGTGGGTTTTCTGCCTTTTTTGGGGCGGTTTTTGTTTTGTTTCGTTTTGTTTTTCCGGTTCTTGGGGGGTTTTGGGTGTTTTTTTTGCTGCTGTGTCTGTGGGGATATTTTGGGCCTGTTTGGGCGCCGCGGGGCCTTCATGCAAAGGTTGCCATGGAAACATGCAAAGGGAGGGTGGGGGTTTTTGGGGTTCCTCAGGGGGTTTTGGGGTGCAGGGGGAGCTCAGGGTGGGGGGACTCCCAAGGGGTTGGGGTGTGGGTGAAAATTGGGGTGCAGGTGAAACTTGGGGTGCTGCTGCCTCCTAAATTGGGGTGTGGGTGCCTGGGAGGAGTTGGGGTGCAGGTGAAAATTGGGGTGTTGGTGGCTCCTAAATTTGGATGTTGTCTGCCTGGGAGGGGTTGGGGTGCAGGTGAAATTCGGGGTGCAGGTGGAGCTCAGGGTGTGGGGGAATCCCAGGGTTTTGGGGTGTTGGTGGCCCCTGAATTTTGGTGTTGGGTGGCTGGGAAGGGTCAGGGTACAGGTGAAAGTTGGGGTGCAGGTGCCTTGCAGGGTTTGGGGGTGTTGGTGACCCCTAAATTGGGGTGACCGATGGCTGGGAGGGGTTTGGGGTGCTGCTGGCTCCCAGGGTTTTGGGGTGTTGGTGGCCCCTGAATTTTGGTGTTGGTGCTGGGAAGGGTTGGGGTATGGGTGAAATTTGGGGTGTTGGTGCCTCTGAGAGTTTTGGGGTGCTGGTGCCTCCTAAATTTGGGTGTGGCTGCCTGGTTCCCGTCCCCGTTCCCGTCCCCGCCGCTTTTCGCCGCCGCTCCCCCGACCCGGGCAGTGACTAACAGCGGGGGAGGGGAGGGCGGCAGTCGAGATGAAAATTCAAAGGCAGCTGCTGGAGAAGGGGGGTGCTGCCGCTTCTTTTGGGGCGGGGGAGTTCTGGGGAGGCAGCTCCGAGGAGGGGTTCATGCAAATGCACAAAATCCCCCCAAAACACCCAAATCTGGGCTCATCCTTTGGGGTTTCTGTCGCGCTCCAGGTGTGGGGTTTTCCCCCGGGGGGCTCCGGGATGTTTGGGGGGCAGAGATTTCCCTTTTGGTTTTTTATTTTGGGGGGGTGTCACTGCCCTTTTCCTCCCTTTCATGGGGCAGGGGGGTCCTTGGGGAGACCCTGGGAGTTTGGGGGGGACCCCACCTCAAGTCAGGGATGCTTTATGGGGAGAGGGGCTGCCTGGAGCCCCCCACCCCCAAATCACTGCCCTTTCTCCCCATTTTTGGGGCGGGGAGGGTGTCCCCCTAAATTCCCAGGGTCTCCCCAAGGACCCCCCCTCAAGCCCTGCGCTTTTCCCCCCATTTTTGGGCAGGGGGGGTCCTTGGGGAGACCCTGGGATTTGGGGAGACCCCAGCCCAGGGCAGAGATGCTTTATGGGGAGAGGGGCTGCCTGGAGCCCCCCATGGCAGGGAAGTGACCCTGGGGGTTTTTTGGGGTGCGGGGACCCCCCCAGCTCGCCGGGATTGGCCCTGCGGGGGGAGGAAGCGGGGGTGGGGGGTGGTGACTCATTTGGGCTGAGATGACGAAGATTTGGGGAATTTGGGGCTGGGTTTCGAGGAGTGGGCGGGTGGCACCGCGCTGGGGGGGCTGGGGTCACATCCTGACCCCCCCCGGGCTGCTCCATGAAGGCTCCTCCTCCTCTTCCTCCCTTTCCTCCTCCTCCTCCTCTTCCTCTTCCTCCTCCTCCTCCTCTCCCGGACTTCCAGCCCCCCCTGGCCTGGGGGTTCTGGGGGGCACAGGGGGTCTTTGGGGGGCATAGAGGATATTTAGTGGCTCCTCTTTGGGGGGATTTAGGGGGATTTAGGGGCAGTGGGAGCACAGGCGGTGTTTGGGGGGCACAGGGGGTGCTGAGGGCTCCGGTTTGGGGGGATTTCGGGCCGTTTCGGGCTCCGGGCACAGGCTGCGCACAGCGGGGGCGGGCCGTGCCCGGTGACTCAGGCAGGAATGTGCTCGCAGCACGCGGCGTTCCGGGGCCGGGGCCGCCGCCCGGGCACGGCCCCGCGGTCACTGCCCCGCGCCCGGTGACCCGGTACTGCCCCGGTACTGCCCCGGTACTGCCCCGGTACTGCCCCGGTACTGCCCCGGTACTGCCCCGGTGCTGAGCCGGTGCTGAGCCGGTACGGCCCCGGTACTGCCCCGGTGCTGAGCCGGTACTGCCCCGGTACGGCCCCGGTTCTGAGCCGGTACTGAGCCGGTGCTGAGCCGGTACGGCCCCGGTACTGCCCCGGTGCTGAGCCGGTACTGCCCCGGTACGGCCCCGGTTCTGAGCCGGTACTGAGCCGGTGCTGAGCCGGTACGGCCCCGGTACTGCCCCGGTGCTGAGCCGGGTCCATA